CCTTGTCGCCACCCAAAAACACAGCAGAGTGACACATTTTCATCCTAAAGATTGCTTTAAAACAGCTATAAAGGGGAAAGTATGCTGTAACAGTGTTAATTGTATGATTCTTGTTTATTAAAGGATAAGTCTGGAATTTACAGAATCCATCTTCTCAGATGACATTTGGTCTCTATAATTTAAAAAAGCAAATATCTTTGAGCTGTTGGTCAGCCGAAATAAGAACTTTGAATATTTAAACATCTGCTTTATGAAATAGTCATGGGCATTTTCACTATTTTCATTTCACATACAAGATCATGACTAATGGATGAATCAAGCACATAAACCTCTTTCGTTTCATGCTGAATGAGAGCTCTCATTCAGCATGAAACTGTATTCACCCTGACGAGGTCAAATCAGGTTATTTTGATTGTACTTGATCGTGTCTACGTCAAAATGAATAACTCCGAATTGCTTCTACAAAGCTAAGAGATGTCTGACTGAGAGTTAAAATATAATTTTAAACCTAAACTAGCCTAATCAACAGAGGTGTTTCTGCTCTGATAAAATGCTGCTCATGCTATGAATTCTCTGACGAAATACACAACATATTATTCACTTTACTTCACACCCTACCTGCTTCAGCACAGCCATCAATGGCCTGTGTGTATTTCTCCAAGGCGTCCCCAAACTGTCCATTTTTGAAGAGGTGGTTGCCCTGCGTTCTTGAGCCGGGCCAGGTGAGGAGGCAGAGCTCCAGCAGGGGCGTCCAGATAACTTGTGTCCACTGCAGGGCTGTCCTGCCGCTGTTGTCCACCAGCAGGGCTGTTTTCCCTCTGTGAGCCGTTCACCACCCCCTTCCCCGGAGCTCGGTGGGGCTTTTCTGCGCCGCCTCCGCCCCGGCTTCGCGTCCCGCTCCCCGCTGCGGCCTGGTCCGATCTACCGCCCCCTCCTCCGCTGCCTGGGGGTTTGTCCTGTGCGTTCCCCATGGCTGTACTCCCTCCGCAGTGTGTTAAACTCTTCCTCCCTCCCTGTCTTTGCCTATTTCTCTCTCGCAGAGCTGCAGCTACATCTGAGCCTGCCTGGCTGGGGATTTCTGATGGACACGCCCCCTGGATGAGGTGTCGGAGGTGACGTCACAGGTGGGGGGAAGTGCCACAGCGATGCAGTGCTGCAGCAGGATCTGATGGGAGAGCCTCGGATTAGACCTCAGAGTAAAGGGCTCTGCTGGCTGGTGACATACAGGAAAACGGACAGAAATATTAAACGACTGAATAAACAAATGGACAGATACAGAAGCATGGGACTTGTGAAACAACAGGAAAACAAACTGTTGCAGTTTTGGTGATTTATTGTTTAATGCTCTTTTATTTGCAAATTATCAAGTTAAGGTACTGAATATTTGCTCTTTACGCCTTATCAAAAACAGAAGCAAAGCTTTGTTGTTATTAATTAGACGTATGCCAATTAAGCATGTCTCTATTTGACTAGAACTAGCACCATCTTCTTTAGACATTATTTAGATTCACCAAATTATGGTAATGTTTTCAAACTCTCAGTTTTAATATACATTTGTTATTGCAATTAAGGGATCCCTAATGGTATTTCAGTATTGATTTAATCTTTCTTTTTTAAATCAGTCATTAGTTAAACTGGTTAAAAGTGGTAAACGTATGCAACCAGCAGGGGTCACATCACATTGAGTTTGTTTAAAGTGATATCAAGATGTTGGAACATCTTACAACTAAATAATAAAATGGTTTACTCCCTTTATTATAGCGCAAACAAACTAAATAATAATCTAAAAGAACAGAGGAAAAGGTAGAACTGCAAATATTGTTATATCCATCTGGATGTTATCATTCAAATGTGATAATGTCTGACTTGTTAAGGGTAGTGAGGATACGTAGGTGAAAAGATATGTATGAATCATGCAATCAAATGAAAAAAAATTGTGAACACAGTCTAGGTCATTGAAAATCTTTTTTTAATAAACAGAAACCTTTCATTCATTACTGAACAGTACACTTGTAAATGTTGAGGTTTAACCAAAATGCAGAGATCTGAAGCCAGGACTGGAGGTCAGACCCAATGGAGTCGTCAGTGTAATTATTTACAATGTTCACAAAAAAAACAGTACAGATCAGAGAAAATCAAAAGGGCTGCTCTTCTCTTCTTCAGCGGGCATCAAAGACAACCACTGTAATCAAAGAGTCAAGGAAATGGACAGTATTATAGTATTCAGTTCATACATTGATTTGTAATAAAAATCCTTTTGCCATCACATAATATTTAATTTTTAGAATAACATTTAAAAGGATACATCTCTTTGTTCTCTTCTTGTACATGATCCTGTAACCGCACTCTCTGCATCGGATTGGATCACGGGCCTTAATTTCATTTTCAGTGTGACATTCTGCAAATGAAGAAAAAATGTTACAGAAAATATCGAGTGTATCCATAAAAACCTTGTAGATCTAAATGATAATCTATCAGGCTGATATATAACCTTGTTGCAGATATATCAACATCTGTTATAAGTCTGCACATTTTTCAGTTTTTGCCTATTGAGCTTTGCATCCATAGTTGGTTGTTGGGGGTTTATTTTATATGTTAAGTCTTACTTTTGAGAGTAATCAAATGTGGTCTTAGCATTACATAATAATAGAAACTTCCAAAAAGTTAATTAAAGCTTGGTTTTTATTATCCAACCTAAAAACACCAGCCCAGTTTTGACGACTCTTTTCCAATAAAAGTAGCTAGCAGCACTAGCTATAAAGTTGCTCAATTTAGCGTGGAAGTCGGAAAGCTGGCAAACACGTCTCTTTAAGCCTCCCTCCAAAGCAGCATTCAAAAAATTATCTTTATGAAGGTAAACATATCAAAATGGAGCTAAAGAATGAACAAATCTATTGTAATGTACTCACAGCTGTCAAGCTAACATCTTGTGGAAGACTTCGGTGACGCGCAACGAGTTTGCGCGGGTAGGAGTGAGGTAGGTTTGAAGTTAGACAGTCCAATAATTCTCATTTGGGCTTAATAACATGTTCACAAACTTATTGCAAAGGCCTATGGTTCAAGATTTGTTATTTTTGTCTTAATATTTTATTTATTGATTGTTGTCCGGATATGAGGAGAATTTCGACAAACACATCCAGAATTGTTTCAAAAATACTTAACCTATCCTAGCTTTAGCCCTTATATCATGTATTATTTGGAGCACATGATATAGGTCTGTGAGTTTTTTCATATTTGCTATATTAATATTTGACAATTGTTTGGTAGATATATATATATATATAAAACATCAAAAATCCTACTATCTTGATCTACTAAAACTATGAGTAATTATACTGTAGTAGTACACCGTAACAGAAATAGAAATAGCAGTACTAACAGCAGAGGTGGACAATGTACTCTGATCTTATACTTAGTAGTAGTAATAGTAAAGTAGTAATACTACAGTGTTGAACATGTCTGTTACACGATAAAGTCCAGTTGTTACTTAAGTGAAAATACAAAAGTATAAGCATCAGATATAATTAAAGAGCCAAATGGTAAAGTATTCGTTATGCAGAATGACTCGTTTCAGAATAATACTTATTATATTATTGGATCATAAGTTTTGAGGAAGTACAGACATACTTTATATATTGACAGATAACAATGGGATCAATAAAGTTTTATCTTCACCTTTGAATAATATACGATAAACTTGTTGTTGATTATTTTTGTTATTTTGTTTAATCTCATTCTTCAAAGCAACGAGTTCTAGATTAATATGTAGTGCAGTATAAAGTACAATATTGACCTCGAGTGGTATAAAGTAAGCAAGTGCATTCACTCAAGTACTGCACTTAAGTACAGTTTGAAGTACTTGTACTTTACTTGAGTAGTTCTATTTTTGCTACTTTCTACATATACCCAACTACAATTGGTAAACTGTGTATTTTTACTCCACTATATTTATTGTATACCTTTAGTTACTTCCAGATGTGGAATAATGATATGAAATATAATCAATAATTTAAAAATACTTAATAAATGAATGAGGGTACTTCTTCCACCTCTGTTTGCCTCTGAATTGTAGTGGAGTATAAACTAGCATTTAATATAAATACTCAATTCAAGTACAAGTACCTCAAGTTTGTACTTAGCTACAGTACACCACTGATTAGCAGATATTTAATGTAATTAAATGTAACAGCTCCAAGTAACGTTAGCATCGTTAGCCGTAGACGCTGTGACGTTGGCTCATTCTGCAATCATCACAACACAAACTGTCACGTACCTCCGCATATGTAGATCATAGGTTGCTGTTTAGGCGGTTGAGCATCTTTCTGTGGGTCCATTTTATCCCTACAAAGGACAGGAGAAGCAACATCTGTAATGTTACAGCATGCTAACACAGAAAGAGCATGGTGGTATCTACATGATTAGCCTGAACCGCCACATACGGCATACGCAGTGAACAACAAAAGTCTTAACCCAATCGTAACATGCAGTATCAGTATCATATGAACTAAAGGAAAATATATAAAATAAATAAATACGACAACTCACCGTTATTAACAAGCTAACTGTTTACTTCTCTTTCTTCACATCGCACGCACTGCTCTGTGTGCGCATGCGTACAACCGTCAGGCGGCCACCTCGGAACAACGTCGTATGCGATAGGTCAGAAGATACTACTTCACGTCAAGCACTTTTCCCTTTTTCCGCAATAATGTATGACTATTACAGAAGCTTTGTTCCTACATTCTGGTACTTTTACTGAAGTACAAGATCTAAGTACTTCTTCCACCGCTGATGACAAATAGGCTATTGATTTCTAATGTAAACATTGATCGCATTTACTCCGTGTAATGACTGTTTCTCCTCAAAGTGCATGTGGAACAGTTAACATCCGTAAACGAAAGAATAGTCTACTCTAAACAGGCTGAATGAAATACATATATTGCAGCTAATTTACTGTTTCTACAAAGGCATAAATTACGTTTTGTACTCCGGTCCAACAGAGGACGCTGTCGGAAATGTGTGTTCCCAAACTGTACATCATCTGACGGACACTCAGCTGGCCCTGCACTAGTTTTTGACAACAACGACTCTTGTCGACAATGTTCACATCTTGACTATTGGCCCCAAAATTGCCATTACTTACCATTAGTCTGCTCCCTTTCTTCCTTTAAAGTCACCCATCATGGAGCCAACTGCGCCCAAAAGGTTTGTGCTCTGCCGACTGGTTTAAACGTGCTTTAACTAGCTAGCTAAAACGCTAACGTAGGCGGTAGCTCAGCTAGCCGATGCTTACTTAGTTAGCTTTTACAGTTTTCTGTCAAACTTTTCACTTAGTTAAGAAAATTAAGCCTTGACTTTTGACCAAAATCACAAGCCCTGTCCTAATTGTTTTCTAGCTTGTTTGGTTGTTCGGTAACTTGTAACTGTTTGTTAGCGCACTTTAGGGAACATGTTGATATATTTAGACATTAAGTACATTACCTTTTTCCATAATGAATTGTGTGTTAGTTTAATCAAGCAAGTATCCTTGGCAACCATCTTATTCATTGGTGCCATGGTGATTTATGTGGTTGTCTTCCTACCACAACCGTTTCTGTGAAGAAACTGGCCTATCGTAGTGTACACTGCATTTAATCCTGTACATTTGTATATGGAAATACCCCATCACATTTTTATTTTTATTGTGTATTCAATAGATATACTCTATGCATATATATCATTCCTCATTGATATGCATATTCGCAGTTTTGTTAATCTTCTACTGCTGATATGTTTATCTTAACTGTTTTTATGTTATTTTAATTAGTTTTACTTCTAATTCACGGTCAATGTCTCATACATGCTGCTGTGACGAAAACATTTCCAAATTGGGATCCATAAAGTTTATCTTAACTTAAAGGGGACCTATCATGCAAAATGCACTTTTGTACGTCTTTTATACATGAATATGTGTCCCCGGTGTTCCAGGGAACTCACCAAGTGTCAGAAAACACAACCCTCTCTATTTTCCTCCATACCCAAATCTCTAAAAAAAGGGTCTGCAACGGATCTGATAAAAACTGATCCAGATTTGAACACTGTCCTGACGTCAGGACAGTGGCGCTACGGCTATTGGGCCAACTCCACCAATCAGGAGGAGACAGCCACGGCCATTGCCGTTCGAAAGCGCTGGAGACGCTGTAGTACATATGCCAAGCCTGTAGATGGTGCTGTTCTCACTGAATCTGCCCTTGCAAAAACAGAGCTAAAAAATGTCAAATTGAGCAAAATGAGGCATGGCTAAAATGCATGATCTGTTTGGTATTTTGAGAAAAAAAATCTCAAAAAATGTATGGTCCTACACTATATTATTCAAATATAGCATGATAGGTCCACTTTAAGCTTATCTTTAACCTAAGAGGGAGAAAGATCTGTTATCAATAACATAACTAGTGGATATTCTCCTATATTTACCAATTACACCTAACTAACTATACAGGAAGTTTGATAAAAGGTGTAAGAAACCTTAACATTGATGCATTCACTTATAAAGTGTCCAATTAGGGCTGCAGCTAAAGATGTTTGTTTGTTTGTAGCCTTTATTTAACCAGGTTAAAAAATCCCATTGAGATCAACGATCTCTTTTTCAAGGGAGACCTGCAAATAAAAAAATAATAAAAAAAGATAATTTTAATATAACCCTAAAAAGATTGCCTTTGTCTGCATAATGTTAGAAAGTTGTGAAAAGAAATACCCTATATCATTTAGATGATAATGATATATTTAGAGGGTTTGATTAGTGCCCAACAGATCCCAAAACTCAAATACATTCAATGTATGTAGTTCACATTGGAAATTATATTAAGTATAATATAAACTAGAACAATCAAAGGGGAAAGCCCCTTTTCAGATGCTCCTGTTGTATATTGGTTTAGTTTTGTGTCACTACTTGTTAAGTCGACTATTATACTCGGCAACAATTGATTTGTTCAATTTTCTTTCCAGCAAGCTGAAAAAGCTGAGTGAAGACAGTTTGACCAAACAACCAGAGGAAGTGTTTGATGTTTTAGAGAAACTCGGTGAAGGGTAAGATGTTGTTGTCATGACTAATCTCTGTTTCCACTTCTGCTGAAACTATTTTAAGTCCATTATCAGAATGTCTTTACTTTGATGCACCACCTCATTTATTTGTGTAGTGCATCAATTTGTTAATAATATCAGTAATAAATAATAACATGTAAATGAAACTTTTGTGTGTTTATTTAGTTCCTATGGCAGTGTGTTCAAAGCCATCCATAAGGAGTCGGGCCAGGTGGTCGCTATCAAGCAGGTTCCTGTGGAATCTGACCTGCAGGAGATCATCAAGGAGATTTCTATCATGCAGCAGTGTGACAGGTGCGCGGAGATTAGATTATCCCGTTTGAGCCCAGCAACTAACTTAAAGGTCCCATGACATAGCCATTTCTACTGATCATAATTCCATTGTTGAGGTCTACTAGAATAGATTTACATTGTTCAATGTTCCAAAATCGCATTGGTTTTCTCATACAGCGGGTGTTTCTCAATGTCGAGGAAGGCTCCTCCAGAGCCACTATTTCAAGGATTCTACGTCATCGAGTCCCGCCGAAGGACTGTTCCAATGTCCAGGGGCGTCCTTCGTTGCGGGAAATTTCGAGGCTGCACATATGTATCCTCCGCGGTCTTAAAATCCCCACAATGCTTTGCGCAAGGACCAATTTCCAAAATCTTTGGCGGAAATCGCGCTCCATTTAAGGCGGGGCCTCGCATATGACGCACACCTGCAAACCTGTTAGCCTGTTCCACCATTCTTTGTTTTCCGAGGCTAGGAAGGATTCTTGCCTCGCTTCTGAAGGACCTGACTTGGAAGACATGTCCTACCAAGGAAGCGTCCTCGACATTGAGAAACACCCAGCATCTCTGTATAGTATGTGTATTCACTCTCTGTCCTACACGCATTGTTGGAGCTCCTGCCCCTCCCTCCCTATGAGCCCACTGTGCTCTGATTGGTCAGCTCGCCCACTCTGTTCTGATTAGTCAACCACCGTTACAGCTGGACATCAGTGTTTATGTGTTACAATGGCGTTTGTTAGCAACCAGAAAATGACACCAGTAATGACATACAGATGAGAATGCTGCGTGGGGTCTGGGTGCCGTGTTGGCGGGATGTTGCGGGGCTCACTGCTCTGCCCTTTGAGGCTCGAGGAGCGGACAGTGTGAGCTGGATTACTGGTGTCGTTTCCTGGTTGCTGCGTGGGGTCTGCAAGACAGCGAGACACAGCGGAACTCAGCCAGGCTGTGAGTGTGTGTGTGTGTGTGTGTGTGTGTGTGCGGAGATCCGCAGAGCCGCGACTGAGAAAAGATAAGGCTGAGTGAGTGTGTGCGGAGCTCCGCGGATTGGTCCAATTGGTCCATTTGGTCGGCGTTACGTCACTATGACCAAGAAGCAAAAAATGGAAAAAGAAAAATCTCCAGTGAGGCGTTCTGGGGCAGCATAGACAGGTATTTTCTGTGTTAGAGTTTTACTCGCTACAGGGTGTACTTTGAGGGTTTGTGACTTTGCAGACCGTTTACATGCATAAAAACGGTAATAACCGGAAAAGCATGTCATGGGACCTTTTTAAGGAACATTTCAAAATATGTTCTTATTGTACTACATTGTACTACATATTGTACTACAAGTTGTATTGTTGGATAAGTACTTATATTTGTAAAATTGTACCATTACCAGATTACATGACTTGACTTGACAATCAGAACAACATTTCCCATGTATTACCGAGTATAGTCTTTGTGCACAAATAGGCTAATACATCCTTAAATTGCTCAACGTTTTTAATTTGCTTCCATAGGTTACTTTGCTTTATGTTAGATATTGGATTTGTAAGCACTGGTTAGATGATGCCAACTTCAGCTCTCTGTGTCTTGATCTATGGAGTTTTCCCACTTCTGCTATTTTTGTTGTAAGCAAAATGTTGGGTTCTCTCTTGATAACCCTTTTATTTTTCATTTCCTCTTAGCCCTTACGTAGTGAAGTACTATGGCAGCTACTTCAAGAACACAGACCTGTGGATTGTCATGGAGTACTGTGGAGCCGGCTCTGTCTCTGACATCATCCGACTGCGCAACAAGACGGTGGGTGCTCACAGAGGCAGTGTGTGTATGACTGTACTAAAATTAATTGGTTGTTCACATTCCCATATCATCAGTTTATATTTCCTTTACTTAGAGCTAATGGTTTATTATACCACTATTGTTTTTTCTTTGGTGTAATAAATGTTCTGCAAATCACAGTAGACCGACTTTTTTGTGTCTGTGAGGGAAATATAAAAAATATTGTTTACTCCCAGATCTTGGTTCATCCCTGTGTTTTGCTTCTCATATTAGTTGACAGAGGAGGAGATTGCTACTATCCTAAAGTCGACACTCAAGGGTCTTGAATACCTTCACTTCATGAGGAAGATCCATCGAGACATCAAGGCAGGAAACATCCTGCTCAACACAGAGGGACACGCCAAACTGGCCGACTTTGGCGTTGCAGGACAACTAACGGTAACATTTTAGCATTTGTTTGACATAAAGTTATTGTTCTTGTCAAACGTTCAAAACCTTGAATTTCACAATAATAACAGCTTTGTTTGTTTATCTCTGAAGGACACTATGGCAAAGAGAAACACTGTGATAGGTACTCCGTTCTGGATGGCCCCTGAGGTGATCCAGGAGATCGGCTACAACTGTGTGGCTGACATCTGGTCCCTGGGCATCACGTCCATAGAGATGGCAGAGGGCAAACCTCCCTATGCTGACATCCATCCCATGAGAGTGAGTGTAAAAAAATAGTTTGTTGAATCATTTGTGATTAGTCTCAAATACTCAGCTCTAGATATTTAAGATGTTAAGCCTCAAAGAACAAGCCTCTGACATGATTGTGTCATAAATATTTTATTTTGGTATTCCACCTGACTTTTAAAACCTATTTGTGTTCCTACAGGCGATCTTCATGATCCCCACCAACCCTCCTCCGACATTCAGGAAGCCGGAGCTTTGGTCAGATGAATTCACAGACTTTGTCAAGAAGTGTCTGGTTAAGAATCCAGAGCAGAGAGCGACCGCAACACAGCTCCTACAGGTTAGAGGAAGGAAGCACACGCACATAAACACAACGCTAAAGCTGTATGCAATAGGAGAGACTGTCACATAGGACATGCAAGTACAACATCATAAATGGAAATAGCTAGAAAAAAAGTGTCTTCTTGAATACATAACAGTCTAAAACTATATTTATTCATTTAACTACACCATTCAATTGGATGCATATTGCCTAATTTAGTCGAGGAGTTATTTCATAGCCATAATAATATAATATAAGGCTAAATTACCTTTCATACAATTGAGTCCCCTCACATTAACACAAAACTGCTCTTGTGAATGTCCAGCACCAGTTTATCAGCCAGGCCAAGCCGGTCTCAATCCTGAGGGACCTGATTACTGAGTCCATGGAGATGAAAGCCAAGAGGCAGCAGGAGCAGCAGAGAGAGCTGGAGGAGGAGGACGACAACTCTGTACGTATGCTGACATCTAAACAACAATATTAACTTTGTTTGGACGGCTATTTGTTGATGCCTTATGACTTAATGTCCTCCAGGAGGAGGAAACGGAGGTGGACTCTCACACTATGGTGAAGTCGAGCTCAGAGGGTGCAGGGACCATGCGGGCCACCAGCACCATGAGTGACGGGGCGCAGACCATGATCGAACACGGCAGCACCATGCTGGAGTCAGACCTCGGCACCATGGTCATCAACAGTGATGACGATGATGATGAGGAGGAAGACCAGGGATCCATGAGAAGTGAGCACACACACAATGTTAATTCACTGAGTTTAGCAATAATTGAATTTGAGTTTCTACCAAACCTTGCTGTTTATTTTACAAAAGTAAAATGAAGGCTTAGGGACTGGCCGTAAATTAAAATGTATTTTTAACTAAGATGTTGGCTTTCATCGGTTATGAAAACACGATTATCATGATGAAACGTTTATATTGAAGTTAAATAATCGTTATGTCAATGTTAACCAAAATAATAGTGTGTATGATGTATTTGCTGTAATCAAGCATTGTCATTGTTATCAGCTGTTATGTATATCAATACTGTCATACAGGGGAGATGGAAAGGCGAAATTACGTACTAACTAAAGAGACAAATTCATCTCTACTTCCTCCACAGGGCACCCCACCCCCCAGCAGCCAATGCGTCCGTCCTTCATGGACTATTTCGACAAGCAGGACTCCAACAAGGCAGCGCAGCAGCAGGAGAACTACAACCACAACCAGCCGCAGGAGCAGCCTGGCTACCACATCCAGTCCAAGAACGTCTTCCCTGACAACTGGAAGGTGCCTCAGGACGGAGACTTTGACTTTGTGAGTAACGTCTTCCATGAGCATGTGATGGCTCTGCTTTAATAAAGCAGAAGTTGAACTAAAGGAATAAACTGCAGTGCCTTTGTGGGAAAATTGCAAAACAGAAGCTGTTCTTACCCTGAAATCGACTCATCCATCTTGTGTTTTGTCTTTGTGTTTTTTTGTATGTGTGCGTTTTCACCTAGCTGAAGAATTTGGACTTTGAGGAGTTGCAGCTGCGCCTGACAGCCTTGGATCCGATGATGGAGCGGGAGATTGAGGAGCTCCGGCAGCGCTACACCGCCAAAAGGCAGCCCATCCTGGATGCCATGGATGCCAAGAAGAGAAGACAACAGAACTTCTAAGTGCTCCTCCCTGTAGTCTCCCAAAGCCACTATTAACACAACACTTACGTCCCATTGACTCAGAGGAACTAAGACAACTGTAATGTATCTGTTAGAAGCCCACTGCTGTTCTGACTGACTGCTAGCTGGCCTCTATATGAAGTTAAAGGCTAATTGACATCCATTTAGGCTGCTGGAATCTACACTTGTCTGCCTTGTTTCTACACTGCATTTTAAATAGTATATTTCAGTTCCTGTAAAGTTGCTTTCCCATGAATGATACTCAGGACTGTGGCCAAAGAGAAAACTAGGGCCTGTCTAGATTATGTCTGAAAGTCACACCATAAATTCCCCCCCTTTTTTCCATGTCACACCATCGGAGATTTCCCACCGACATCAGGAAGCCTGTCTCTCTGGCTGTAGCAGCAGAATAATAGCAGTGGTCTTTTTTTCTCAGACTTTTCACTTTTACTGTAAATATAATATCGAGCCTAGTTTGGAAATACCTGCAAAAGCTGTGGAGGCTTGACCATGACCAAAGACAATCAAGATGATGTTGAGAATGCCTTAAATATTTGAAACCTGGTTTTAAAATGAGCCATGTAATAAAACAACCAAGTCGCCAGGTGGTTTATCTATTCCCTCACTTGGAGATGAGTTGGAAGTGGACTGAGGAAGATGCAAGAATGGACAGAAATGAAGGAAATCATGTGGGGCGGTGAAGAACGAAACATGCATGTTATTATGGAGGACCAGAAAACCTGAAATTATTTCATTAGTCTTAATTTTTTTTTTTTTGGGCTCTGCTCTCCATGAATGAAATCAGAGCTTTTTCTTTTTAAATGATCCACTGTACTCTAATTAAATCCAGACTTGGCAGCAAAATTCATTCCATAGACAAAAGACAACTTATCATAAAAGCAAAGCATTCCATAAAACTGTTTTATTCTAATGTCCCTCGAGTCTTTAGAAAACCTGCAGATTTACTCTAAGGATCAAAACATGTTTTTTTCTGTTCCACTCAATGATTGATCAACTTTAAAATTCCAGTTTGACCTTCTAAAGCTTGCAGAGCAGTTAACAAGACCCTGACAGTTCAGCCCTCAATAAAGATAACTAGATAGCCGACGAGTCAAATAAACTGTTTTATGGCTCCGTTTATCAAGTTGCGATAAAATATGCAAGTGAACGACTGATAGTGTTAACTAAAGAAAAACAGAGCCGCTGCATCAACCCCACATCTACTGTCTAAATTCAAGACTAAGACTTTTAAAATGGAGTTAAGATTTCTTAGTCAAATTATCCTTTAGCATTTATCTGTTGTTCCTTTTTTCTACAGTACGGTTTTCTGATTATAACTGAAGGAATGAAGTGTGTGGTTTGCGACACATGCTTATTTGTCAATCCCTTAACACTATTTAAACTGTTTAGACTGTAAAACTGTGTGATTTATTCGGGCCAAATTTAAGGAAAGCAAAACTGGCTGTTTAACCGTGCATTTATCTGAAAAAAATCTATACATTTTATATCAGATTTCCAGTTGAGCTTAATTTCATCAACTTTCATTTGGAAACCCTTGCTGCTCTGACTTCATGAGGGACACAAACTGCTCTGCTGTAGTTTAGTTTCGACATATTGATTTGACCGGTGTTAATCTTTGAATGAAATATGCCTTTAAATCCATGTGCATTACGTCTGCAGGCTGCTGTTATATGAATGTTAATATGCAGTCTTGATGGTTCTGCCCATTCTTACTGCATATTAATAGTCATTTTAATCATACCTTATGCTTGGAACTGTCTGTTACACTACGTTAGTCTCATTTGGTGGACAATGTACCCATAATGAGCAATAATGAGACATTTTAAACACCTGAATCAACATTTAAATCACCTTAAATTATCATATATCTGAAGGTGAACCTGTTCTTTCACTGAAAACATTAACAGTCTTGCCCTGAGTTGTTTTCATTAATTCGGTCTGCAGTGCATTGGTAACTTAAACGCAAGCATTCACAATTTATTTATTTGTTTTTTTTATTTTGTGACGCTGGTTAAAATATTGTAGCTAAGTTGGCTGTTAATATTTCTGCCTTTTGTCAAATATATGTGGCTTGATTTCCACGTGTTAATCTATGCATGTTTATAATTATGTTTGCTATTTAGTGGAATGCTTTTGTATTAAGTGCACAGTACTGTTACCATGGAAGCTGGATGTTCAGCTTTAACAGAAAATTATTTTCCCTGTACAATTTTAAAAGCCCTGTTTGAAATATGACATTGTAATGATCTGCCATATGTATAATTATTTGAAAAATCATTGATATATAGCTATATCATTGTGTTTCCATTTATTTCTCTGTTTCCTCTATATAAAGACTTGAGCGTAGAGTGGACTGTAAGCATTTATGTTTGAACCACCTAATTTATTATCTTTTGTTTGTAATACTTTATCTTGAAAGGTGAAAGAAATAATAAAGTTACTTATAGTTAACCATAACATCAGTGGAATGCGTTTATCTTATCTCAGAGTTATAAAAGTGGACTCTCGTAGTCGTGAACATGAATGACCACCTGTCTTACCGTAATTATTCTAATACAGACGCTGCCATTTTGAGTTTGCACGCCATTTCTTTTTTTTGTCACACCGCCTCTGAAATGTGGTGCGCTCTTGTTTACATGCATTACGGTAGGATTTACGACAGCAACTGTTTCTGCTGTTTCCTATAAAGTGCTCCATAACGACTTCTTCATTCACAGCCACGGTACGGTGTTGAAAGATTGGAGAATTAAACATGGCTGCACTCATCAGAAGGATCGTCAACACAACAGCAGCCCCGGCGGCCATTGGTCCATACAGGTAATGAAACCAGTATAGCTCTTACATGTTATGTTTAAAGGGACACGTGGGGTCCAGAAGCAGGTATACAATGTTTGAATTAATGCATGACTCGCAAGGACAGTGTAATTATTCATCAGGGGCGGGTCTTAGTGAACAATGAACTGAAATTGACCCCATAAAAAGAGTCAGAGTTGAACTTGTAGCAGAGGAAGCACTGACTGCACAGTAGAGACACACAGCTTGGTTGAAATGGCATCTATTCGTCGACAAATCCCCTACACACCAAAAGCCCCTATCAGACAGGGCATATACAGGTAAGGATTAATGTCCTGTAAAATACTTTTATCTTTCCAATTTTCAGAAATTTTAAAAAAGCACGGTTTTGCTTTCTTATAACTTGATTAAACATGTTTAACTTAAATACTCAAAACAATTAATTAACTTGGAGTAAAACAAATTCAAGTGAAGAGTCTAGTTTAATTCAGTCTGTGCACGGTGTGGGAATGAGGGGAGTTCCTGCTCTGGCCAATCCCCTGTCAGTGGGGGGAGTGACTTCACACTGAATGGCCTCTGATGTATCTATTAGGTTCAAGGTCCCTGGTCTATTGTAATGTCTGGTGGTAAAATGTGTAATAAAATGTGCCTTTTAAAACTACCAGAACATATGTATATCAAAGAATGGCTGTTGAACTGATAATACACTCATGTTGTTGAGATATTTAAATTGCATGTGCAGTTTTGTTTCCCAAAATATCTCCAGAAGGCTTTTTGGGTGCTCACCATTTTCCTAGTATCCTCAAGCTTAATTTGTTTATCTGTGTTTGTGTCTCAGTCAGTCGGTGGTCGTGGACAGAACGATGTACATCTCGGGTCAGCTGGGGATGGACGTGGCTTCTGGTCAGCTGGTAGATGGAGGCGTGCAGGCCCAGACCAAACAGGTGAGACCGCAGAGACCAACTATCTATTTCAGGACTTTGTCTGACGTTTTTTTCCATAAAAGTAATAATTATAACTCCTTCCTTAAAGGTGGGGTAGGTAAGTTTGAGAAACCGGCTCGAGATACACTTTTTGTTATATTCCATGGAATGCTCTTAACATCCCGATAGCAATGAATATCTTAAGGGCTTTGACAAAAAATCCATACAAAAATGTCATCTGTGGAAGCCGCAGTACTGTAAAAAGCACGACCAATCATTTTAGCCGGCCCGGCTAAAATAACTGGATGGCCTACCTGCCTGTCAGCCTTCCACCTGTGCACAAACTTACCTCATGCCCTCATTGGTAATGTCCGCGTTTGTGTGTGTTGGAGGAGGGGCTCTGTAAGGAAGTGGCAGATTTTTTCCGGCTGTGTATTTTCAAATTCTAGCGATCTCGAGCTGGTTTCTCCAAAATTACCTACCCCACCTTTAAGAGATTTACTTTTAACCATCATGATCTTCAAGAAGCACATTACACAGTATGTGTGCCAGAAACGTTTGACATCCACAGAGAAATTATTCCCTTAAAGGTGGGGTAGGTAAGTTTGAGAAACCGGCTCGAGATCGCTAGAATTTGAAAATACACAACCGGAGAAAATCTGCCACTTCCTTATAGAGCCCCTCCTCCAACACACACGAATGCGCACATGACCAATGAGGGCACAAGATAAGTTTGTGCACAGATGGAAGGCTGACAGGCAGGTAGGCCATCCAGTTATTTTAGCCGGGCCGGCTAAAATGATTGGTCGTACTTTTTACAGTATTGCGGCTTCCACAGATGACATTTTTTTTTATGGATTTTTTGTCAAAGCACTTAAGATATTTATTGCTATCGGGATGTTAAGAGCATTCCATGGAATATAACAAAAAGTGTATCTCGAGCCGGTTTCTCAAACGTACCTACCCCACCTTTAATTCATGATTTTATGAATTAGAGCAGTGCTTTTTATTAGCTGTATGAGTCTTAATTATTTAGTAAAAAAGGGGTCAAATTCTTTAGTAACCTTGTTTTTTTATTAAACAAATGTCTTACTTTAAATGTGTTTGATATTTTACTATCAAATTTGACCTAGAAACAAAGTAATCCAAAAAAAAGGTTCCTATTACTCATCTGAATGGCTTTTCAATCCAAAAAATCTAAAGCACATATTTGAAGAAAATAAATAATGTGAAACGGGATATTAGATATTGATCACAATGTGTGTCATCCCTCAGGCTCTCGTCAATATGGGGGAGATCCTCAAAGCTGCTGGCTGTGACTACACCAACGGTGAGTTTTATGTATTACTCACCTGCTGCTTATTATCATATATATTTAAATGTTCCAACATAGCAAACTCTCTTGACGGAGTAAACTCTCTGATTTCAGTGGTGAAGACGACTGTGCTGCTCGCTGATATCAACGACTTCAATGGCGTCAATGAGATCTACAAAACATGTAAGACAATACTTCATTTATTTCCAGGCTTAATGCTTTAAATGTTTTGCTACAATGCAGATTGTAATAAAAAATACTAGATGTGATTTTTCTAATAAAATGTACTGTGTTTTCTTTTATCTACACTTTTCCGCCACATAGAGGCAGCCTTTATCCAAGATTGTCAGAGCTGCTGTTTCATTTCCACTTGTCATGTCATCTATACAAACAGCTTAGGTTAATTGACATTTATTTCCTGCTGCCATTTACTACAATTGAAATCAAATGATGCATTATAAAACCAAAATAAGTTTTGATTTGATCATTTTTGCCATAATTAAATTGGTTAAACTTGACAAGTCTACTTTCTTATCCCTCCTCAAATTATTAATTAATATTTTCATTTTATAATTAAATATCAAAATTGATTTACAAAAACCTTTTACATTTAATTACATATGCTAGTGTCCCCGCATATCATACAATTTCTCCAAGTATGTTCATTCCTTTAAAATGTACAGTTGCCTACATACCTAGCATTTTCTTATGGTTGTATATGTTTTTTGGCCCTTTTTAGCCTTTTATTAGAGTGACAGTGTTGAAAGGGGTAATAAAGAGAGGTGTAAAGGGACATCCGCATTTGAACTTGCGCTACATGTAAACAGTGTTTCAATTAAACACACAGTTAACTCATAGATCACAATTCACACTCGGTCATTATTCCAGTGGCAAACTCCAGGATCTCTACAGAAAACCCCTGCTGACAGGTGACAGTCCTCACGAGGCTCCCTCGGCCTCCTGTCACAGGCTGCTCAGTCAAGGCATTTCCTGCTGGATCACAACAGACCGGTGTAATGGAAGCTGCTGTGCCCAGTGAGTTGTAAATGGACACTGCTGTGCAGGCACACAGATGTAACCAAATCCTCAGAGCCAGCTTTCCTGCACGGGCCATTGCCTCTGGTGCAGGCTCCGAGCCCTCCCACCTGACTTTACTCAACCCTAATGCAGGAAACCTTCCCTGACCCTGATGAAAGCATGGAGAGGACATGTTTCTGACTCATTTAGACTTTTCATACCAAAGTTCTGTCTGATAAACGTGATTCCTGGCATTTTCATTTGGGGATTTCTCTCTATTATAAAAATGTTTTCATTTTGTATGACACCTGAGGCTTTTCTCTATTTTTATTGAAAGCCATCACGTCGAAATCAAATGATCCATTCATATATACCTGGCTGTTTTTTCAATATGCTTTTGTTATAATGTTAATGTTTTTCTTCCAGTTTTCACAAGTAACTTTCCTGCCAGAGCTGCCTATCAAGTCGCTGCTCTTCCCAGAGTAAGTACACATTAAGTGGAGGAGATTCATGGTACCCCATCAAACCGTGTATTTTCTATCATCCATGTTCATCTTTTTACCACCTTGTAATGTTGGTCCCTCACATTTTAGCTCCAGAATTGTTCCATTATCCCTGCAGAGAAGCTGTGCATTGTAGTAATCTAATTACCCAGATTGCAAAATTGTTGTCTCATTGTCTCTTTTGTTCTGTTCAGGGCGGGCTGGTGGAGATCGAGGCGGTCGCTGTTCTCGGTCCTCTCTCAGACTCCTGACTAGACGGCCCCATCACCAACAAGCTGTAGCCCAACCATCAAGTGCCTTTTGTAGTTGTACAGTGACAGCCTTTAATGAATTTCCAAATAACACATGAAAGACCAAACTAGATCTTGTTGACTTTCTTTTTCCATCATTTCAGGTTTTAGGATACATTTGTTTTTCTTCTGGCCGCTGTAACAGCTGACCGTAGTTCTGAAATACTTTCATTGGTATTAGACGGAACATGTAGCAAAACTTAATTCACTAACAAACTAAACTGTAATGATAGACAAGGATTGTATTTGTATAACCAGTCTAACATTCCCTGGTGGCCAGATTCAACTTCCTCTAGGTGCTGTTTTTGGTTTGGTTACTTTCCTGTTTTATTTTATATAAAGACATATTATAACACATTTTAAATGTGCAGCTCTCACTAATAAATAAAAAGAAGTACAACCTCCGATCTTAGAATGATTATTTCACCATTACACATCACATCAGACATAACGTGTGTATTCATCCAGCTTTAAGAAAGTACATGCATTCCATTTTTAAGGTGGCTTTTTTATTTTTTGATATAGCTTATAACAGATTTTGGAAGTTTTTCCCAGAGAGAAATCATGACAGAAACAAAAAAGCATTTACACTTTTCTCATTCATGCTTTTATATAAATGTTAACAGTCATAAGTTTAACTTCATAGTAACAGCTCTTCATACTCATTACAAACACGTTTGTAAAATCAAAGCCAGCATCGCAAGTAGAATAATATTTCATAAATCAAATATATTTTGGCTTTGGTTTCCTTAGTTATAATTTTGTGGAAAAGTATAGGATGTTTTTTTTCAAGTTAAATCAAAGATAATCTATTATTCTATACAGATAATAAATAGACATTTCTATGACAATTTATCATTTAAATTGCCCTGAAATGATGAAAACAAACATTAAGTGCCACAGAGCTATGTTATTATACAATTTGCAAGCAGAAATGGCTGCCATGCAATATTATGAAGGGAAAAAGGCACAGTGATGACTGAGGAACCCTGACGGAAAGTCGTTTTTCATCACAGGGTCTGCATCTTGGCAACAAGGCGACATCTTACTCATACTTTTACTCGTGCATGCAAACAAAGATGGAAACTTCCAACAAACTCTTCTGTGCAGTCGTTCATGTTGCACCTCACTCACTGGGAGCTGAAAACCAAAAGAGGGGAAACATGTTTAGGTTGCGTAGATGTTTTTGGAAACAATTGCCCATGTGACTATAAAAACATTGGTTTGACTTTAAAGGGCCCATGTCATGCTTTTCCGGTTATTACCCGTCCCCTTGTGTGTTATGAAGGTTTTTATGCATGTAAACGGTGTGCAGAGTCAAACCCCTCAAAGTACACCCTGTAGCGAGTAAAACTCTAACACAGAAAATACCTCCCCAAAACGCCTCGTTGGAGATACGTCATTGTCCATTTGATTCTTCCATTTCGTTCCGGGTACGGCATGATGTCAAGCCGCACCTGGAACGAAATGGACCAATCCGTGGAGCCGTTACGTTACGTCCGCGGAGCCGTTACGTTAAGCCCCCGCTGATTGGTCCAAATTGACCAATCCACGGACTTCCTCACACACACATCTGTGTGCAGGGAGCAGGCAGCTCAGCTGATTTCTCCTGCCTGGCTGCAGGCTGATAACAGACAGTTGGGATCGCGGCGAAATTCTCTCTGCAGACCCATTCTCACAGCGTTTATCAACCTTTTTCTTGCTCAATATCAAGCCACACTTATTGTTTTTACTTTGGCTGTGACTTTGTGTGTGCTCAGGATGAGTTTGGCTGTGTTTGGCTGTGTATCGCTAACAAGGAAACAACACCTCCACGGAGCTCAGCGCGATTCACAACGTCCCGACCAATCAGAGCACACTGTGCTCACAGGGAGGGTGGGGGCTGGAGCTAGTGGAGCTACAACGAGCCGTTAAAGGCAGAGAGTGAAATTCAGTGAATACAAGTAGTTTACAGAGATGCTGTATGAGAAACCAATGTGAGTTTGTAAAATTGCACAATATAAATCTATTCTAGTATACCTCAACAATGGAATTATGATCAGTGGAAATGGCCATGACATGGGCCCTTTAAAGAAAAGACAACTGTTCCAAATTTATTTTTGCAATGCTCTGAACACCACAAAAACATTTAATCATTTAGAGCAGAAATCCTAAAATCATACCTATACCTGCATGGCTTGATACAGTAGGTGGAAGTAAGTTAATATGTTTGATTGTAATTCAAAAATAACTTTAAGACCAGTACTGCAGATTGAGTCTGCATTGAAAATCCCAGGTCTGTAGCAACAAAAACTTTACTCATTCAGCCTGTAAAACCCTTACACTCCAATGTGGGACTTTTCATTGTTGGGGAAATATTTTCCAAGGCCCATAACTTTGACCCAGTTTATCAGTTCATACTGTCCTGACTGAGCACACGCACCTGTAACCTTGGCTGCTGTGCTCTCAGTGTTTTGTCTCCCTGTTCCTGCCTGTTGGCGTCAGCTGATTCTATCTTGTTATGCACAATGTTGATCATTCTCTCTGAACTAGCTAAATACATGGGTCTGGGGTAGAGTTCTTCAAAATTGATTGTGGCATCTCAACCGTGTGGTCAACTCGTGACCCGTGACATGTCTTGTGAATTCTCCGGCCGAAGCTCCAAATAAACCGTCAGTGTTTGCCATCAAAGCTCCAGCTCTCCATCGTGTCTCTCTTTGAGTCCTGACTCCAATTGCTTCAGAAGTTTCCCCCACATTCATGACTTTTCTTTTTAAGACTTCACCAAACCCATCTCACCCCCGCTTAAGTGACACTCGATCATCTGCCTCCATTGGCTGTGAAACAGGGGCAACATCGCCCATAGCCAGTGAAAGCCCTATATATGTTGGCATGCTCTGGTTTCTCTGTGGACTCAGATTGCACCTTAATGAAACCACGTTGACAACAAAATGTTGGCATCACACCTACACACACATACTGACACACACACACACAAGGTGTGTGCAGGCCAGCCAACCACAGCTGAGTCACAACTAAATGATTAAAGTTGGACACCAAAGGGGTCGGTCAAGTGCAGAGAAAGGGTAAGGAGAGTGCTGACTAATATTTAAACAAATAAATGTATACTTTTTATTAATTATATTCAATACTTTTTGTCAAACTGTCGAGTAATCTGTTAGAAACAGCTTGCACTGTTCTGTCTATTCTCTCTTGTTGCATGTACAGCTAACTAAAGGCTGGAGTTTTAAAATGATTTTGTGGCAGTATTTTGACACCAGATAGTCTTTGAAACAACACCCCAGCAATCAAACTGTTGGATAAACCATAATAATGACGTATTGTCGTATAAAAAAAAACCTTCATTCAACCCCAGATTAGTTTTTAAATTGGCAGTATTACCATATCTTAAGATGTACATAAACAAGTGATGGTGCCTGTACCAGATAACTGCCTAAATAAATGCTTGAAGGTATGGGTAGACCCATAGGAGGCAATATATGGTAATGTACAGAAACTAATGCATTTCCCCCACTGCATAAGCCAGTACTGTAGCTTTCCTTGTCCATCTTTCTCCAAACTGCATTACAGTGGTAGACACTTTGCATAAGACTAGGAGGAAAATGAAGAGCTGACCTCATGAGTCGACTGCCTTTCATTTGCATCATGAAGCAATAATTGAAATGATAGCATGCGATGTGATGCTGCATTGTGTTACACAGCACTTCCATGTATAGATAATAATGTAGTGTGCAGGGATCCTCACTGTGCAGACCTGCAGTCACTCTGATGTGCTCTTTTGGTATTTAAAGCAGCTATTATTACGTTGTAATAACTAACTTGTATGTTAGCATACAGGGGGGTTACCAGAGAGGTGAACAGGTTCAGTATTTTCTCCAGAGACAACAAAGGGATCCTGACTACATTGTGTGTTTTGATTGGGTGTTCATGCCATATCCTAACAACACATCTTGGAAAAGAAAAAAAAGATGTAATTGAAACCAACCAGTTTTGTGCATGATCATACCGTTTTTATCATTTTAAGAGCTTAAAAAAAATGAAGTCTTTGCTTGCAACTTGCACACATCAGGAGCTGACCCTGGGCCAAACAGTTCAAGTTAAAGGTTTGGTCTATAGCCCTACAGTAACAACTGTTACAGCCTCAAAGGACAATGGTTACACTTTAACAGATTGTTCAGGCATGAGTCATCACTATTTAAACATCCTACATCTATCCCTACCTAATACTACTTTTGAAAAGATTTAGCCTGGATATACTTTTCTTGTAAATGGTATAAAAAAGTCCAAAGTTTTAGCGCTGATAGTCGATATTAAACATTATATTTTCTTTAAATCTGAACGTACAAACAACAAACTTTTAAAACATAAACTCACTCTTAGCTTTCCAATATATTATTGAATAGGTTTTAAGTCTTGGAAATGTTAGTTCCCCAGGCTGTAGTATAATTGTTTCATTAAAGTGTATTTTTAAACAAAGATATACTGTCAGGAGATGAAAATATTCATTAATACATTTTCAAGAAAGCAGCCTAATGAAAAGACTCCTCTGTGAGTCCAAATATAATAAAGTGTATCAATATAATACATCATTATTACAGTCATTAATTCATGCAACCTGGTTAGGCCAACCCTTAAGTGTGAGGCAGATTCTTAAATACTAACTAAATAATCAGATGTGTGACTTATAAACAAATATGTGTGGCCGCCCCGGTGTGTTCATTAAAAGACATGCCTGTGTGTTGTTGGGTATCACCTGGTTACGGACATTGCAGTGGGACTGTGGGGGGTCGAGGGAAAGACGGGAGGGACATTATGTACCTGCGCTGTTTTTATTGGGTCTTCATGCAGGAGGTGGAGCAGTGCTCAGGTTACTGCTGCTCAGTGGTAACAATTTAACCATAATAACCTTACTTCCCGTAATGCCACACAACACTACTATGACATTTTTTTCTACCAAATGTGGTTAAAAAAATACCTGTTTCACAGATGTAGATTATTATGTGTAAGAATCCCCTACATTCAGTATTGGGAAGTCCTTAAAATGTGCCTTAGCGAAAAAAGAAAAGATTGTCATTGACCTGTCCAAGTTAAGTTTTCGCCCTCCAACCTACCTTGCTCTGCAGGTGCTTCAGGTGCTGCTGCTGGTTCTTCTGCAGGTGTTGCATCTGGAGCTTCTGCAGGAGCTGCTGCTGGTTCTTCTGCAGGTGTTGCATCTGGAGCTTCTACTGGAGCTGCTGCCGGTTCTTCTGCAGGTGTTGCTGACGACTCTTCTGCTGGAGCTGCTGCTGGTTCTCCTGCAGGTGCTGCTGCCTCTGCAGGCGGGGGGGCTGCAGCAGGCTGAAGCTCCTGAGTGTCTGCAGATGTTGCAGCTGCAGCAGGATTGTCTGCAGGTGTAGCATCGCCTCCGCCAGCAGGTGTCTGGTCGGGAATAGTTTCGCTGTCCTCAGCTACTTTACCATTCTCATTGCCCGTTCCTGTCAGGATCACATGTATTCAAAAATTCAAGATATTATGTAAAACCAATACAAAAAATATCAAATGCAGGGTCACGAGTCAAAGTAGTGTTTATATTCACTGGGGTTTGGGTAACCATGTGCTTCTGATGATATTGTTCTTTCTGCTTTGAGTAAAAGAATGTGTACACATTTGGATATGATTTTATTGGGGCATCAATACTGTGCTCTGTTTACTTTATGTTTGTGTTGCCTACATTATGGCCACAGAGCTGACATAACCCAAAGCCATAGACACGCAACAAGCAACAAGCAACACGCAACATGTTAACACGCAACTATTATAATAATGATAGCCATGCAACACATTTTGTTAAAATTGTGCCGACTTCATTTGCAGAATGTAGGAGCAGCCAGTGAGAATGTGGCTAATAATGCAACTGCATAGGTTTGAAGGAAATACAGATATGTTGTATCTTATAATGTACACCATCATGTATCATACTTTGAAGATGGAGTAAGTAATTAAATAAGAGTTGTTTGCAGGCAGACTCCTAGCATCCAAAAATAAAACACCAATGAATAACAATTGCATCAGGCACAATAAGAAAAATAAAGTATGCACTGTTCTACAATACTTGATCAACTGTTCCTCTTTGGAAAATATAAAACCTATGGTTGCTGCCAAAGGTCATTGGGAAGGAAGTAAAAAATAGCACAAAGAAATCCCCACTGACAAATTACTGGAACCACAATTGTTAATGATTATGTGGAGTGTTTCTAAGAAACATTAACACATGCTGCAGAGCTCATAGCTCTCTGGACAGGTTGCTGTGTGTTTGAAACTGTGCATGACTACCATGTACTCGTTTGTTCAGAGGGATTTGCATTGCAAGTGTATTTGCATGGATAAAAGAAGTCTTGATCATCAAACGTCCATGTTTGTATAAATACGATGTCTGTGCCTTTCTTTAGTGCATCATAATTGTCACAATATATTTTAGTTTAAAGAGATAATGGTGTTCTTTAAAGGTTTCTTTTAAACCATTTGAATCTCGGGGTAAGGGATGTCATCTTTCTTTCTTTGGGGTGACAAGTAAGAACAGGCGAAGGAAAAGCAGCCACATGCAAAAAGAAGAAAAGATCCGGACAAATTTGCATCTGACCTCCAAGATGATAATAGCAGGAACACCTTGCTTTTCAATGTCAATCAGCTAATAAACCCGGAAACCTGAGAGCAAAGACAAAAACTACTCTCCTATGACAACGACAACTACACACTTTTAGAATCATAGGGGGGAACTCTCTTTTTACTTTTCACCCAAAGGAAGGTCCAGCTGCAGGACATGAGCTTTGAACATACTTGTGCAGAGTCAGTTTCCCATCTCCTTTACATATTTAAAGTATCCTTACTTATGTGAGCTTGCATGCATGTGTCTCCATACAGGCCTGTGATATCTCTTTAAGAACTGCAAAGAGAGCTTTAGAGCAAGAGACACTTGCTCAGAGGGGGTCCCACTAAGTGAATATTTGACCAGTTTTCCACTACCTTCTTCTTTAGAGTTCTGTCACACAGTGCTTAAGCTGGCATTACTGCAAACACAGATACATTTAAAACACAGATTTGGTAAATATAAACATTTGACAGCATTTAAGTCAACTAAACCTACACATACGTTCTTACGTTTCCTCAGCACTGCTACATTTAAGCACAGGATGCATTGTTGATGTTTTACATTAAAGCCTGTGTTAGTTTGTACCGCAGCCTGGCCATCTATAGCACTACAAAGGAGCTCCCAAAGAGGCTTCTCCATTTCCTTTGGAAACTGTAGAGTGTAGACTGTCACCAAATCTGCTTTCATGCCACTGTCTCTCCCTCTCAGGGAAGACTGAGCCAGAAACCGCTGTTAAATAATGACAATAAACTTTCCCATCCTGTCACTGTGGAGCTCTGGTTCACTAAAACTACAAACATCAGATACTGTACAGTGAGAAATACATTGAGGATCATTTGCATGTAGGATCCTTTTTATCAGAGCAGCGTTCACCACAAGATAAGTATATGGTGTAACTATATTTGGAGAAGGCAGTGAACTTCCACGATGACCAACAACATGTTACAAGGCTATTTTTTACTGTAAGGTAATAATAAAGACCAACCTCGATTACCTAATTACAGTAATATCTTTGGGGTGTAGTTAAGGCAAATTGGTATTTACAGATATGTCACATTCAATAATTTCTCTAAAGTAAAGCTGAGTATCGTGCTTGGTCAGTGCCTTGAGTGTTATAAAGTTAAGAGATATATAGGTTCACACTGTGCAAAAAACACATTATTGATATTTGACATGCAAAACATGAAACTACAGAATAAAAGGAATGGAAAAGGTTGATTAGGAAATCATTGCTTCCATTTAACTTTTCACTATAGCATTATTTTCTTTAATATATTAAACATTCTGTGTTTGGCTATAAATTATGCTTGCAATAAATGCTACTCGCCTGCATACTGTTTATACTTCCACATATTTCGTATGTATTTTTGCACCATATTTCACAGAAAATATATAAATGTATGAGCATCACCTGTTGTACTGGCTCCGTTGCTCTCCTCGGGTTTAGGACTAGGTCGAGTCGGATCTATCGCTGCAGTTTGGGAACTGGTGGAGCATCCCATCCTGCCCTGTGCTCATAGAGGACTGGATGGTAAACTTCAGAGTTGTGGGATGAGGAGAGGCGCTGATGACGTGGTGCATAGATATCGGCTCTTTAAATGGAGAGAATTCAAAACTGTGGACAGCGAGTCCCCGCGACGAGAACAAATAGAGACAGGCTGGGAGTCAAATTCCTTTAGTCCTGTGCGTAATTACGCATCGTGTTTCCTCCTCCAGAAACGCGTTGAGCTGTTTGTGTTGTAGCTACAGGTCACTAAACAGTTGGTCACATAGGTGAAATGTGGGCTTCTGTTGTGTTCTGTAACTTAGGCTGTTTCCAGGAGGCTGGCGCAGGTGCGAAAATACATTATTCAGTCAGAGTGCAGCGGCCACCTCTTGGGGAGGGGAAGTTAAAAATGTAACCTCGCCAAACTCACATCTTGCCCACGGTCACTTGCGATTCATCAAAAATGTCAACCCTAAATTAATCCACTGGAAGGAAATGACATCCTTAATGTAGCAAGACGAAAATATAATCATACTCCATTAGAATTAAAAGTCCTGCAATCAAAACATTACATCATCATCATTAGCAATTACAATATCAAGTGAAAGCTAAATGAGAATCTAAAAATGAATAATGCTGTGCAAGCTTGATTTTTGATCAAACATAATAGATGTAACAATTCAAAAAGTTATATAGATTAGCATTTGGAAATCAATAAGATACTATATTATAACTTGTAATTGGTACACCAAAGTACAGCCGACTATGATTATTCTTATCGTATACTATACTATAGATGACTAATATTTTTGACTTTTTATAAAGATATTTTAATGGAAGGGAAAAGCTTTGGTCAATATCATGTTTGCTTGATTTTAGACAATGTACATAGCCTACAAATGTTTTCATACATTTTGTGCTCATCGAATCAGCATGATGCGCAGTAGTCGACTGCGCAGACCCACCGACAGATATCCGCGCAGTGCACGCTGGGACTTCCTTTCTCTCCGAGGCCATATTGGAGTTAACTTACAGTAAGACGAGCTCCGAGTTTTCTTTATAAAAATCACTAGGATTTACACATTTTAACACTTTTGTTGTCTGCGCACATTAACGACAGTCTTCTCCTCCTCTCCTCTCGTCCGCAGGTTGGCCGGTCAGGACTAAACCGCAAAAATGGTGGCCGCAAAGAAAACGGTGAGTGCCGTTTGCTCGAGCGGAGTGCACGCGCTGCTCTAGGGCCAGGCTGCTCTTCACGTGGAGACGTGTTTCTGTTGAGGCCTGCTAGCTAGCAATGTTGCTCACTGTGCTGACGCAGTGTTTACACTCAATTTATATAGTTTCTTTTTACATTTGGCGGTTGTAAAAGTTTGAAAGCATGATGCGACTGTCCCTCTATTTATTGACGTGTATATGTTTGTCGGTAAACGTTTGTAACTGTAATGACACCGCAGTGTTGCTAATGCTAGTATGCTAAATCTACCAGAACATTTTCTTAACCGTGGTAACAATCCCTACTAATTTACGATGTCAGCATATTTTAATGTGCTGCCCTTCGTGTTACCGTTTGTTAAATTACATATTTGTATGTCCCACATACATTTTGGGTTTTTGCATGAACACAACGATGGACAAGTGGTTAGGTATGTAGCCTGTGAGCATTCATTAACGTTAGGTATCTGTGTTTGTACAGAAAAAGTCCATGGAGTCCATCAACTCTCGTCTCCAACTGGTGATGAAGAGTGGAAAATACGTTCTGGGCTACAAACAGTCCCAGAAGATGATCCGTCAGGGAAAAGCCAAGCTGGTCATCCTGGCCAACAACTGCCCTGCCCTCAGGTAATGCCTAACAAAGATACAACATGTATTGTAAATGTAGGACGATGTATTGAAGGGTTCTATGAATAAATAGCTATTTTATAATTGTTGTAAGCAAAAGTTATATGGGGGTATATGTGAGTTGTTTATGGATTGTTTATCAACAACTATTAGGGTTAAGTCTATATCTTGTAGAAAGCATATTCAATATTGCACACTAACACTTTAAATTCAGGTATATCATACTTGATCAGTATAAATACAGTTTTTATCATGTAATTTTTACATTATGTTGAAACTAATAAATCGTATCAAATTCCACATGAGAAGACCTACTTGGCAACAAACTGGATTGTGATTCTAGTTGACAGAGCTTGTTAAAAGCCTTGCATTATTATTATAAGGACTAGGATGTAAAGAGAATGGCATGCCAAATATTACAGATATTTGTTAAAATCTTTATAACTAACTGCAGGGCCACTAAGTGACTTGCCTTTTCTTTATATGTCCAAGCTTTAAAGTTATGAACAGATTTTTGAATTTTTCAGAAGATTTAAAGGCTGTAGATTCTGTTGTAAAGACTAGTTGAGTAACTAAAAAGGTGTGGCATTGTCTATCTGCAGAGCCCCTGCCCTTTGTATGTGTCTATTCTTTGCCTTTTGATGTTTTTGAGAGTCAACCTAAAAGAAAAGTACTGACAAGATGCCAGATAGTAGGCACTCATCAAACTGAAGGAGGAGAATGTGGAGAAGGGAAATGCAAAATGGACAAAGCTTTTTCTTAAACTACAGAGAATCTGAGATTGGCTTTCATCTCCTCACAAACACCACAACCCTGGTTAAGCCGGGGCTGAGTGGCTAGCCTTGAATGTTGCAATTACAACAGCTTTTTTTTTTTTTTAGATTGTCCGGTTACTGACTGATTATTGGTGTTTAGTTTTGGCACCTTTTGGGGGGATTTTTAAAACATGGTTGACCTGTATTTTGAAACTTTAACTAACATTTTTTTCCTCTTTCTGCCCTGTCCAGGAAATCTGAGGTTGAGTACTATGCCATGCTGGCCAAGACCGGTGTCCACCACTACAGTGGAAACAACATTGAGCTCGGCACAGCCTGCGGAAAATACTTCAGGGTGTGCACACTGGCCATCATTGACCCTGGTGAGCACCTTCCTCCACAGAGTAGTGCAGTCCATTTGAACCCTTTCCTTTCTAATGCCAAATGCGTTGAGCCTGTTCTTTGGTGTGTGTGTGTATAGGCAAAGTTGATGCAGGGATATTGGTCCCGAGTGGGCCTGTCCCATCGACTACTTTAATAGTACTGAACAGCAAAAAACAAAACCACAACACTGCATTTGAATTATGCTCAACAGAATACAAATTTCATTCAATTAACCTATTCCTTGCTAAATATATATTGGTAGTCTAGTCCTAACAGAATTGTATTTAAGGCATACAATTATGAAAACATGTTTGGCTTCTAATGTGAAACTTTTTCATGCACTTGAATCTTTTGTTTGTTAAGCTGCAGAGAGTAGTAGCCAGATCTATGATGTAATGTAGCCTGAGATGATAAAGATGGAACTCAACCAGTCGGACTGCTAAAATGCTTCTATTGGCCTTATTCAAATATTTTACAACTTTGAAGTGGTACCTTTCCCAATAATGTTGACTCTGTTTATATATTAGTAAGAGGTATTCAAATTTAAGCTGACGTTTTGTCCTTTTCTCCACAGGCGATTCTGACATCATCAGGAGCATGCCAGACCAGCAGCAGCCACCCCAGTAAAGCTGTTCCCCCGCCCCGTTGTTATAAATAAAGTCGGTGTTAACAGTATATGCTGCTGTCTGTCTTTATTACTAAAAACAAGTGAGAACTGTGCCAGTCCTACACGTGTCCACCAGAGAGCATCAGTGTCCTCTTTGACTTTCTCAGATGAGTAAACTCCCATTTAAAATGTTTAGGTCTGTGAAGGAAATCCTCTCTGCATAGCTGTACCATCCCTAACAGCTAAACATGTCAAAATTCAGAACTAGATTTTTAACGGTTGAATATTCTTCAGAGACTTTTGTAACAAAGCGTGACCACAGGATTATCTGTGTATGTAAAAGATTATCCACCCAACTCATCAGTGTTAAAATTACACGACTGCTGATCCTTGAGAACATTTTTTCTCACCGACATAAACCTTGGGGTTGACAGTCTGCGGAATTGGCTGCAGCCCGCTGAGTGTAATGGAGAGGACGCTGTCCTTTCAGGGGTATTAAAGGCATGAGTGATGGATGCCTTCGTCACACACTGTAGATGTCCTGACTGAGAATATACCTCTCAATGCCAACCAAGAACAAGATGATTCACTCATTTTCAGCCACAGGAAAGGGTTAATTTAACAACCCATTACGTCTATAAATGATAATTTAATGATCATGCAGTTCAGCTTGGGAAAGGAGTGTAAGATGCACTTTGAAGCAGCCATGTGTTGACATCAATTCACCATTTTAAAATAGCCTTCCCGTTGATTTAAACAGTTTTTGTAAGAACACTCTCAGATTTTGATACCTAGAGTAAGACCTGATTAATCAATTAACAGAAAGAAAGCACCCATTTCGTCTTGGGTATGGAGCTCCTTCAGTTATCCCCAATTCATAACCACTGCAGAGTATCTGTAACAAACATCAATGGACGATTGGCAGTGGATTGAAACTCACCTGAACTCTGTTGCATATAACTTTAGAGGGGGATAAAAGAAAATGCTATTCTCACTGAGGCTGTAGTGTTTTCCCAGAGGTCAAACTGCCGCTTCAATGCTCTGCTGCAGCTGGTAGGGGTCAGTGCCTGGCTGATAAGCAGTTTAGTAGCACAGGTGGATGAAGTAGATTATATCTCATCTGTAACGCTGATGGACATCAGACTGAGGCCGTCACAGACCTTTTGGGGCCCCGAGAAGAAGGCAATCCATCTCCAAAAAAATGTAAATATATTTTACATTTCTATCAGTTTTTATATTACTGCTTAGTCTTAAGTTTTAATTATTTCGTTTTTTAAAACTGAGAAAGTCGTGCTTATTAGGACCATGGGATTAGGTAAACAGCAGAAAAAGAGAGTAAATGGCTGCTGGAATCAGTGCAACATACTCTTTACAGTGATCAAGGTAAACATCCAGAAATGCACTTAAATCATACCATTTTGGATCTTGCCTCATTACCACAATATTTTTATATTTTCTGAAGCATCAAAAGGAAAGAATCATGAACTGGAAAGAGATGATATACTGTAACATAATCCCATGGATGTCAAATCAAGTTTCACAGCGTTAGGGCTCGGTCATCTTCCCAGATACAGACATAAGCCGTCATCCATCCAGTCGGTTTGACCCAGATGTTCCACTCACTGCATCCTTTCCTTAACTTTTTCTTTCTTATTCCCAATGATATTATCCTAGAAGAATGTGCAGCAGATGAAGACATTCTAAAGAGAACAAGATTGAATGTTGAGTAGCCTCCTCCAGCACTTAACATTTCAGGGCTACTGTACTGTTTATTTTTCTTTACTGTGATCCATATATTATATTGTTTTTTCCAGTTAGAAGAACTTTGAATAAAAAATCAATCACAATCATAAGGCAACAGAGTGTCAGGCCATATTGATCATTTGTATAGGAACATAAATTGGAGGGTATGTGAACTCGGTGATCGTTTACTGGGTACTGAGTGCTTTATATTCTCACACACAAAATGTATTGATCAAAAACTCCTCATTGTTGCCCGGCAATGTCATAACACACAGCACAATACATACCCTGACAAGTATCTGTTGTTTTAGTAGATATTGTAAATAGTTGCAGGAACATTTAAAGGAGAATTTGAATGTCATAACAAATCTGCTGATGGTTTCAAAAACCATTCTTTGGCTCTTGTTTCCTCTTACTACTTTTTGAAGCTGATGTCACCCTCTCTGTGTAAACAACTAAGAAAAGGGACAGAATATGACCCACTTATTTGACTGTTTTCCCCCTGTGCTGTCCCAGTGGCAGAAAGTAGGTGAGCGTGTCTGTCTGGTAGCTGACCTGCTGTCAGTCCCAAGGTAATGCCGGCGTCCATTTTGAGGCAGCAGGGTAAATGCTCGCTGATCTGCCAAATTGTTTGTATCCAATGAGGGATGCTGCAGTTTGTGAAGGCAGCCGGAAGCACATCAGCAGCATGAATTGACAATTATTGTTAATAGATGTGATTCACTGACATTAAGTCCTTCAAAATACATAAAAGACCGCCTAACATATTCTATTTTCCTCCTCATTTCCAGGGGTAATTTGAAATGATTTAAAATGTATGTAAATACCAGTAACTTCATACATAAATGTTTTCACGATGAAAATCAAAACTCAAGTTCTAAGACAAACATTGACTCAATGAATAAACACAGAAGCAGACACTTTGACTGATTTTGCTTTTTATTATTCAGAATGGAGACATGAGCTCATGCAGATCCAACAAGAGGATGTGTTTGAGTGGAAAGAAATGGAGAACAGTCTTGAAGTGATTCTAATAAAACGAGGCATCAGCCATCCACCGGTCCAGACAAGCCTCTTCTCTAAAAACCCTTCAGTCTGTTTCACACAATGCAAAATACTGATTTGGAGCTGATTATACTAAATACATGTTAGCTACAGCATACTGTGGACAAGGTCAAATAAAAACACATCAGTTCCCAGTGAGCTCACGCTGACTTTAAAGTGCAGTTACATTTTCAGCTTTGTTGGATTTGCTAAAGCAGTGGTCATAATTCACACAGGGAAAACATTGAAGGGGCCAACCAATTACCGACTACAGTATTATTATCAAATGTAAAACTACTTCATGGTACTAGGGAGATGTTGAATGCAATGTTGCATAGTCCGAAGGAAAGACCTTTTACAGTATATAGCAAATATTACATAGGAAATATTGGAAAAAGGGGATTAGGTGTGTCTAATATGGTTTGCTCCATTATTCATTTTCATAATTGCCTGAATACCTTTAGGCAAAAGACAAGCTTCTCTAGCTTCATATACCGTATATTGATTTTGTGCTACTATGCTAAGCTAAGCTTTAGATTCAGAGCCATCATTCAAAAAAGGTTAGATTTAAAAAAGGTCACCAGCACAGGAAATACCTCAACACGATATCGCTGCATAGGCAAAGGAAATGTTACTACATATAAAAGGAAGTTACCACACACACACACACACACACACACACACACACACACACACACACACACACACACACACACACACACACACACACACACACACACACACACACACACACACACACACACACACACACACACACACACACACACACACACACACACACACACACACACACACACACACACACACACACACACACACACACAATTATCTCAACTAAAAAGATCAGATTACACATGCTCGATGGGAACACAGGACACGCGTCTTAACACACTAATGTTACATATTATAGATTTGTGTATTGCCTTTTTGGATGTGAAACTGTAATATTTATGTGTGTGTGCTTCTATGAACAAGATCATTAATGCCACTCTTTCTCGGAACAGACAGGAAGGCAAACTGGAATATTGTGATGGAGACGAAAGGGTGAACAAGGTTTTCACTGGCAGTCAACGGACCACAGGTTAACAGACAGTGTGTTTACATGGAAACAACAGGAAGAAGCAGTGGTCGAGGATCCTTTTTCACATCACAATAGGACAGCCTTTCACTATCACTTATTTTTCTCTCAGTTTTTTACTTTATACAAAAGAAGTCATACAAAAATACCTCGACATTACATTCAATGAAGGAGTTTGTCAATTTCTGAAAAAAGTGCTCTTGCATAACTGATCGTGTATGTCACTTTCCTTCTCACTCTGTCACTAACTCTCTTCAGGTAGTTTGTTTCTAGACAAAGACCACGAGGGAGATTCACAGTATCGGGGGGTTAACAGTTGGTGGCCAAACCGGTGCACGTTTCCCTCAAAGAAAAGTGCACGTTGAGTTGGGTCAGAGTGTTCAGGGGGAGCCAGAGTTTAGGGGGGGAGCCGGTGGAGTCGCTGCGATACTGTCCTTGGAGGAAGACAGAGGAGAGGGTAGGGGAGGAAATGACATCACAACAACCAGGGGAGGTGGTGGTGGGGGGGGGAGGGGGGGGGGGGGGGAGTTGATGGAGGTCAGCCTAATCTAATATAAGTTTGTCAGGAATCCAAGATGAAACCAGCCTCTAAGACACTGTTTTGTCTTGTTTTCCAACATGTTCCAGCCAGCGTTTGGGTCCTAGTGGTGGGAGTGAGAGGTGGAAGGTGTTTGGGGGATGGGGTCCAACAAGGAGGACGTCTCTCATGCCTCCATATACTGGGGAGGGGGATCCTTCGGCGGTATAGCAATAGCCTCCTCGTACGGGGGCAGCAGAACCTGAAATGCAACACAAAAAAAAAAAAAAAATGTCTCATTCGAAAGCATACCAGAATGCATCTTGATCCATTACGATGAATGAGCCAATCAGCCATTCTTGTGGAAACTATTGAACACAGAAATGGACACACTGAAAATCAAAGAAACAAATGGGCGTCACAATTATGAGGGGCAAAAGACAACTGTTCAATCCCCCCCAGCATTTCCAAATGGGGTTTCAAGACTTATAAGTGGTGCCACACAACAGATCTTTTTCCTTTTTCTTCTCAGAGCTACTAGTAGCAACACATTTAGCAACTTATTTACATTGACAGGATAAGAGTAAGAAATATATATAAATAAATAAGAGTAATCGCAGTCACATGTGGAGGCTCTCCCTCGCTGCAACCGACACAACCACTAAGCTTTATGTGTGATGACGGCACCAAAATGCAAACGAGCGTGTGCCGTTATCGAAGTATCTTTGGAGCGAGGGCTTAACACAGATTTGTCGATACTTTCCAACACACTACATTTAGTTTGACCACATTTACCTATTTGTTGCACTGTCTAGTAACTGCAAAGAACTGACTCATTAATAGCTGTGAAAAGTTACCGGAAATTAAAGCTTTATCCACTTCCTGTTTTGTTTGAGTAAAGGCCGACGCACTTCCTTTGTGCCGTTAATTAAGCCTTTTCCACGCAGACAGAACTGCTAGTAAAAGCAACGCTCAAAATGCTGATGGTGTCATTATTCTACTCTACTAGTCCATTTAATTCCTCCCTTCCTTTCCACACATGCCTATTGCCACTTTAGTATAGTACATTTGATTATAAATAGGAAGATATTCAGAGACAGCCTTAGTAAAACTGCTGCAGGTTTCTTCTCCAACATCCACACACACATCCCTGTGCTTTAAAAGGCCAGAGAGCCTTGCCTCTGTGAATGGTGTTATAAAACCAGCCCTGCTTCTAATTCAGTGAGCGAGGGCGAGAGAGAGAGAGAATATGCTCCGAGGGGATGAATTGTGAAGCAGCCAGGGAGGCCCGGCGAACACATCACTGAGAGGATTTGAAATGAAGCGGACAAGCAGACAATTATGTAACATGTCCAGAAGAAGAGAGGACGGACAGAGATGTATAGAGAGAAAAGAAGGGGGGGGGGGGTGGAGAAGACTCTTGTGCATTTTAATGGCGTTTATATAAAAGCATGTCAGATAAGCAGCTGGGTACTTGAAGGCAGTAAAAAGCCATTTAGACACACTGCTGGCTTTCTAATAGTAAAAATAGATGGAGACCTCTTTTCATCCACCACCGTGCGGAGAGGGAACGCAGCGATGAAAACATGTCGTCACTTTTCATACTTTATGAGAGCTGTTTAACCAGCGTAAACGATGAGCCACAAGTATTCATTGAAATGAAATACTTCTCTTGTTAACAGCCTTCACTTTGACCTAGATGCCTCAGTTGTTCTGTTTTTAAAATGTTTCCTAATTAACTCAAATAAATATTAGATTTTCTAGTATACAATTACACTTGTTTTCTGTTTCCATTAGTTTAATGATACATAAGGGCTGTCATTAGGGTTTGAAGTGAATTAGTTACATGGATGCTGATTAATTCATCGCTATCAATCCTATATATATATATATATATATATATATATATATATATATATATATATATATATATATATATATATATATATATATATATATATAAATATATAAATATTTGCTTGGTAAAGCCACTAGAAAATATTTATACTCAAAAACATTACATTAACGGGGCACATCTTTTTTTCTACTTTATCAGATGAATCTTCAGTAGGAATGAATTGGCACTGGGATGAGAGCAACACACGGTAAAAAGGAATTAAGACCGTATTGAGTAACGCACAAATATTGTTTACGCTGTTTGTATGTACTTTGTTATACATAAGAAAGATATGCCATCTATAATAATACACAAAATAAATAATAATACACTAGATGTAATTTCTTGCTTACTCTATCTAATTACATTCTCAAATCATTTCCCAATAAAGTATTTTCTACACTGAGTGTCTCATTTCAAACGTATTGAATATATGGACATATGAGACACAGTGTGATATAAGACCCTATGGATTACTTCCTGAGTCATGTCCATGAGAAGGACAAATGGACGGACTGATGAGGCGCTACATATTGAGACGACAGCAGGTGAGACAGATTAATGAGCGATGTATCAGTGAGAAGGATTACAGACAGACGAATGGAAAGCGCGACGAAGCTAAAGCCTCTCAGAAACCCCATGAGTCAACACTGACAGGGACCAAGTGGGATGATGGACGAGGGAGGAAGCGGCTCTGCAAAGCTGGCCAATCACAGCTCAGGAGGATCTACAGCACCTACTGCTACCCACGGCAACAATGACACTTCACTGACCGCCAGACAACTGAGATGCACCGCTTTCTGATCGACTGATAATTGGCAATACACTGTGATATGTGTCCTGATTTTATTGTGAAGTTGATGATGTTGATACGTTTTAAATACATGTACAGTATGCTCTAACCTTTTTATTATTGATATTTAAACAATACAAATTACAAAAGAAATTGTCAGCAGTGAGATAATTTTCCATAGTGAACAGATTCCTGTCTTCCTTCATTATATGGATTCAGAAAATGTGTCAAATCTGAGGTTAATTCGTTTTTTCCAGAGTTTAGCATTTAGTGCTTTCAAAAATGTGTTGATTTAATTCTAAGATTCTAAAATTCTGCTAATCTAAGCACACGTCAAGCTATGTCATCTATTACATACATATCACATTACCAGTGATGTCTATAATCCTTACCTTGTACATTTAGAGGTATCAATTCACTGAGCTGCAATAATATACACAAGTAAATACAATCTAAATATTAGTATAGGGTTATAAAACTTCACAAAGCTTTAGCCTAGTACATGATACACTTATTGAGGAGCACTACTTTTCAAAGCTGGATGTATTTTTCCCATATAAAGAGAACTGATAGCTTGTAAGCCACAAAAAAAAGAATGCTGTGTGAGTGCAATTATATGATGATCTGAGTAAGGGAAATACTCAGTTTGTCCTTGCGGTGGGGAGGCGAGACTCACCGTGGTGTCATTGGTGGTGACATACACCAGGACCTCCGTGGTGCCCCGCCTGCTCACATATCTGTAGCAGTTCCACACACAGCCAATCAGGTAGGCCTGTCCCCGGGGGGTGAGAAAAGAGACAAAACAGTGACCTTTAACAACATCGTCCCCACTTTACATTATTGCTGAGGCTGCTTGCCATCACCTCATCCATCCATGAAGGTTAGGGATGATGATGCCATAGATCAAGTCTGTATAGAAGATTGGTATATAGGGTGCTGCAGAAATGAGTCCTAACCTGAAAATGAGTTAGCATTCTTTTATTTATGGTAACCTAATGTCAAGGTCGATGTTTCTTTTGTAATGGGTACGAACGCTTCCCTTAATTCAGTACGATGCCTGAAATAAGGATTTACGACATGTCATTTTCCCATAAAAGCACCACTCTGGAATTTTGAAGCCTTCACTTAAAAAGGAAATTGATAAACAGTTTACCACTTGTGGATATTAAACGTCATCAAGCCAAACATGTTCACCATTTTTTCAGCGATGTTGACATTGAAGTTATTCAACCACATTTTTGGCTGGTTTATAGCCTCACATTATCCTTTTTTACTTCTTGCATTTACACTTTTAAAATCAGACGGTAGTGTTCATTTGTGAATATTATCTTGCTGTAAAAATAACGTCTATTTGTTGGTCACAGAGCTTCATTTTGGCAATAATCCAAAAATCAAATAGGATCAAGCCATTGGCTTTTTGTCGACTGAACCAGGATACCAACTTCTGGAATGGCCTACACAAGTTTCTCCTCCCTGCAGCTCTCTTCTAGCTACCTTTTGGACGTTACAGTTCAGGATACATGGCAATTGGATACAGTTGTACTAAGTAAGAATAATTTCCTGGAAAATGTTGCCCTTCTTGGTCTTTCACCAACATTTCAGCCAAGGCAACTGACCAGGCATCTCCTGCCCTCAGTAAAGCTACGGTAGCACTCTGGTGAGGTTGGTCTGACTTGGCAGAAGAACAGGAGGTTCATTGTGAATGTGTGCATGTGTGTGAGTAGCCTGCTGAGTCGCTGCCTCTGCCAGCAGTAAGCGCAACGGACCGACGAGGAAACCGGGCTGCCTGCTTTCCAATCACTTTCCATCTGCTGAGCCGCCTTCCTTGCTGTGACACAAACACTTTCAATCACAATGATGATGTGCTACGCTGGCACTACTCACTGATAAGAAGTCTGCGCTCGACCTTCCTGCCCATATGATTTACATTTCTTTATTCATCCGCCCATCTGTCCATCAACATCCCTTTCTTCCCTCTCCAGCTCTCCTTCCTGTCTATCTGTATCCGTCATTCAGGCAGATATTATTCTGTCAAGTGCAGTCAAGTGGAGGATGTTGGCTTCAGCAGGACCTTCAGCAGGTGTTGCCTGTGTGCTCACAGCTCAATGCGTCCTTGAGGTTTCAGATCTGGCCCTTTTCCAGGGAACTGACTCACAAACCGTCACTACAGTAGCTAATATATACAGTACAGTGCAGCCTATCAATACAAAACAGGTTCTATTAATGTTACCTGGTAGATTTCCGATTATATGAATCTATATTTGCTCTCAAATGCTGAAATGTAAGCAGTTAAACTACCCCATACTGTGTGTCTCTCTGCCTGAGACTCTTCTCTCTGTAAACCCAGCAGTGTATCTTCCAGTTGCTGCTTCCTATCATAAAACCCCGGCTCTGGCTTTGGATATCTGCCGAGAACATTTCCAATCTGAGCTTAGAGGAAAAACAACTTGATTTGATTGTACAGATGACTGAAACTTCCTGTCCTATCTCATCCCGGAGCCCCAGAGCATCGCTACGCCTGGAGAGTCATCCATGCATTAAGGGGGAATAAGCTTGACTGGAGTTGGTTTCCTGTTGTCTCTGACCCGCTGCTCTCTGACTGTGAGATAATCCCATGAAAAACATTGATAATGGGAAAGTTCACACTGGCAGATTCATTACACACGCCATATGGTTCGTAGTGCATGATATGCGCACAGTGTGGGACTTAATTTACGTTGCAATATGACAAGCACATCTATAAAAAGCTCTACAGGGAACAAATGTTCAGTGAGTGTGTGTAATGTGTAGACATGTGTTGCATGTATTCATTTTCATAAGTATAAGTATAACATTTTCTATTCATGTTCAGATGGATGATGTGGTTAAAATAATCAAAGCTTGGCCGATGGGTTGAATCTATGAGCTCACCTTGAAGGATAGGATGCAGCCAATGAACAGCAGGACTGCAAAAACTAGGCACATGTTGTTGGTGGACATGATGTCCTCTTTGTAAGGGAATGTCCCTGGCTGAAAGAGAGCGATACAAATAAAAACATTTCAGGAGTGAAACAAAAGACAGAACGTTTCCTTTAACAAATCAGCATCTGACAAAACTTTCATTGTTTCATTCCTACAAGAAATACACTCCTAATCAACATAGCTAAGACCTGTATTATTCCTTAGTTTTCACTAAATATCAAAGCAGTGAACCATATAAAATGTGTTGCATTGTAACTTAGCTCTACATATATACAATATTTCACGAACAAAAACCACCCTGCAGTTTTAAAATACATCATTAAAAGTAGGAGTTTTGATAGTAGGTAAGTAGTTCTCACCAGTTGCTGGAGGTAGTCCTGCACCGTGTTGGGATAAACAACAACACTAATGGCTACCAGTGTGTTCAGGGCAAAGTCGAAGATTTGGTAGCAGAAGAACGGAATGATCCAAGCAGCATGTTGCTATGTGGGAGAGATGGAGAATAGATGAATAAACTCAGGAAAAAAGGCAAGTTGTTTCTTAAATTCAGATTTTGAATATCATTTGTATTGCTTGTGTATTTACCTTGTAAGCACCATATGTTGCCATGCCACATATAAGAATCATGAGCAGGGATATCGCAGTGGCTATGCAGATATCTGGGAAAACAAACAAACATAACAATATTAAAACAGATGAATCGTGACCCGCAGTGACTGACGTAATCCAAAAGTCTTTAAAGGAACTGGATTCTACAAAACAAAACACCTTAGGTACACCTCACTATTTTAAGCTCAAGGTCTGCTTTGGTCAAAACATGATCAGCACGTGGTTAATTGTTATGCAAGTTGTGCTAAATTTAACTAAATATAAAGCCCCTCTCACTTTCACATTACATCTTAGAAAACTGACTGATGAGATGCTCGTAATTGCACTTCAGCAACGTTTAAAAAAAAAAAAAAAAATTTATTTATAGATTAATGGCTGTCTTTTATTAATCATTTACATCTTATTGTTTTACTATCAATACATTTATGGTAATTTATAGAAGGTAGACATCTTGCATTTTCCCTCCCAAGACATCTTCATGTTATTTATAAAAGGTTCAAACTTTTCATCGCATGTTTTTGATGGTCTTGTTAAAACAAAGTCACATTGACATTTTACCAATGCTCACTTTTTGTATTAAAAGTCAATGAAGAACATTTAAGTGAATTGGAAGTGAAAATGAAAATTCAAGGGATAACAATATTAGTTAATATAATTAAAATAGATAAGGAAATTTATATTATTATATTGGATTAATATTTTAATTATTTATTTTATTCAATTAATAATTCTAATTATTATTATTATCATGCCTTTTTTTTGTTATTACATTCAGTGTCTTTCATAGTAGTTTTTTTGATTTGGCAGCAGTCATTTGTTAATAAAGCCAATAAAGCCTATTGAGTTTAATTAAATCTAACAAAGAGGGATTCACGGACATCAAGTTAAACAGGATGTCTGCCTTGTGCAGTTTGGTGAAAGGGATCACTATGCAACATCGGCACTTATTGAACTTGGTAATCAGACGCAGTACTGACAGCTAAACAATATAATCAATGAATCTCTGGTAATCTTTATCTGCATTATTAAGAATGACACCAAATTCAATGACTGAACATAGAAAAATAATGAAAAACTCATTGCAACTTCTCTAAATCCTCATGACTGAGCAGCAGTGATTATTTCAGTAATGATACTGTGTTTAAACCCAGGAAATGATGATACCATACCATCTTAATCCCTTGCAACACACTAGACACAGGGACAGATGTTAACACATACTATAAATAAACGATACATGCATAAATAGATGCACTGCCACCCTTCACCCAACACAGGTCATCTACACAATCTGAGCTACGTTTCATTAAATCTCTGCATATGGCCACAGTGAGTTTGGACACCTGCCTATTACAAAAACCCAACATCAGCTTGTCTCCATCTTTTCCTGCTGTTTCACAATCTTTGACTGATGCTGCACAACCAACAACGCCATCAGTCAAGATGGCCGTTTTAATCAGAAAGAGAACCGGAGCAGTCGTTTTTAATCAGAGTTAGCTAGCGACAGAGACTGTGGTGTTCCAGAGGCGACTGTGATGATAATAGCAGCTGGAGGGGAAATACTGAAAATACACATGCACACTGATTTGTTCTGTGAGGAGTCGGGCCTACTCAGCTCTGTCTGTGCTGAGAGCAGCACTCTGAGAAAAAGAAGCGGTGAGCAGAAAGGAAAAGGGATTTTAGAGCTGCAAAAACACACAGCGCTTTAAGGACATGCTGATGATTTTGGTAGTTAGTTACTGTAAAATGTTGACACTGTTTGAATTTGTTTTAACAGTCTTATTAGATATATGTGCCAAAATAACAATTGGGAGATGTAAAATATTCTACTTAAGTATAGAGAACAGATCATGTGTTGGTTGACTGAATGCATCGAAGACAACAGTGTCACATTTTGGGATTTTTTTTGTTATGTTGTTGAAATGTTTTTGCCATTACATATCACTAGGGTCACTCGTAGACCCGTTATCTCAGAAATCGTATATCATGCAATAAAATTGGAATTCATTGTCTTTTGTGTTATTGTGGTGGTATTTTTCTGTTAAACACACTGTTTGAATGAAATGACCATGCTGTAATTACATTAATTATATTGAATATTTAATGACATTTGAAGAAACAATTTGTAAAATACAGACACAATTAGTTTCCTTTTAAACTGAATATTAAAATTAAACCCTTCAGAGTAATTTAAACTACTTCTATGAAATCTTACACAGAAAATCATAATAATACATCTTGAACATTTAATTGAGGAAGTCTAATCAAATATACAGAATGTAACGCGTCAGATATGATACAATAAGGGGATTATTTCCACTCACTTGCATCGTCCATGACGTCGATGTCAGTCCCCAGCTCAGAGCTGGTAAGGTGGTAGCGGTATTGAACCGGGTCATTGAGAGCCGACAACAAGATGAGTAGAACCACCGCATTAATGAGCTGTGGGTAAACAAAGATCAATATTAATATTACATGTCATAGCAGAGTTATTCATTTGTACGTTCTTGGATTAACTTTCAGCTAATTTGATCAGGTGGATCAGGGTTCCTTCTTGGAGTTGGATGAAAGTAATACAAATGGAAAAGTAATCTCAGGTTAGGTAAAGGATTATTAGACAAGGTTTTTGAATTGAGTTACTCTGATTTGATAAAGACCAACTGTGTGGTTAAATCTACCGGACAAATGTCCTATAGCTTCATGAAAAATTGATTAGGACTGCAACTGGCTATTATTTTGAACTATTAAAGTCCTCAATTATTATCTTTCTGAATAGAAATGAAATAAAACGGCCACAAATCCCAAATTCAAAGAGCCCAAGGTCACATATTCAAATTGCTGGTTTTGTGCAAATTCCAGTCCAACATCCAAATACATTTAATTCCCAATAATAGCAGAAGAAAGCAGTAAATCATCCATAGAGATGCTGGAAGTGAATATAAAAAAGACTTGATTATCACAATTTGTATCAAACACTGACAATTGTTTGAGCAGTCACATTGATAGCCTATATGGTATTTGGTGAACTGTTAAACAGACAGTAAATCATCTGTCCAACCAGCTTTATTAGCAGAAATGACCACATAAGTCTTATTTATGTCACTGTGGAAAGTAAAAGCATGGGATGGAGGTAACAGTGTGTTTCTTTGTGAGGCCTTGGCTCTCTTTGAACACAGAGTTGTTTAGTAGTAGGGTCACAGAGAGGGGGACTAACGGTTACGAAAGGTCAGGGACTTAACAGGCTTATTGCACTATGTTTACAACTTTATGTTATCCTGTGGTCATAAACAGAAACAAACTAAAATACAAATGTAGGGAAAAAAACAAAACCTATGGGATGTTATGGTGATTGTATTTCAGCGCAACAAAAAGTGTAACGTCAAAGCTTGAATTAATAACGGCTACAAACTGTGCTACACAATACATGTTGTTATATGATTATTTGTTATTAAAACATAAATATATAACGGAAATAGGAGTCAGTTGGCGGTAAATAAACTAGCAATGTAGTTAAATTCCGTTACATTACTCTTTAAACCGAGGGCATCCTCAAAATGGCAATTCCCAAATTAGTGAAAGCGATAAACAAGTGGAAAAAACAGCAGCAGCTAGCTAACATAGCTTTATTGTGGTAAAACTCACATGAAACGTGCATCTAATTTTCTACATTTTTAGCCCTATTTGTTGTCATTTTGCACCTGACATCGAGTGAAACACCTCACTTACCATATACCATATTCCCAGAATAATGGTGCCCGTCCGTACATGGCAGCAGAGGCAGCAGCTCGTCGAGTACCACCGGTCCCACGGCGAAATCATGGTGTTATCCTGCTATGAATTTCAAGTTATTTCATGAATGCCGCCGAAAATGAATTATTCAACGCTACAGTGTCCTAAAATAATACGGACCGCTTCTAGTTCCGCCACATCCAGTGTATGTCAGAGACGATGTTCGGATGTTTCCGCTGGTGGAGGAGGACTGGCAACAAGCAGAGCCTTAATCTGGCTCATCCCGGAGTCACGTGACCAGGATTTTCACCGAGGGATGCAAACAACATATTTCAATTCAGCTATTACATGATGCTGTCACACACTTACTCACGCATTTCCTGTGGGGACCGTTTGTTACTGGGAGAAATTGAATAATTTGGCCTACTTTACTGTTACAATGAAGCACCCCCGAAAATGTGTGTCAAAACCTATGGTCAAAACCTATGGTCAAAACATTACCATTGCCTTTTCCCTGGATGTGATTGGTACAGTGTGTGCTCAACACTCAATCAGTCCTTTTTCCTGTAGGCCTATATCATCAGTGTGTCAGGGCTAAATTGTGGACCTTGACAAATTGTGACTGTTTTAATGCACTATTTATGCACAATAGAGACCATTTTACATGAAATGGGTCTCAAGTCGGTTCTAGATTCAATTCATCATGAGGCCATGTTTTAGTAAAGTTACATCTAGTTTTAAAACCTTCTAATCTGATGTTATCTTTATATGATGTATAATCCTGCATTAACTTGTGTTTAAGAGTGATTTTTAGGAGTTTCTAGAATGATATATTGTGTCACCCTTGGAATACTGCACACAGTAGGCCTACAGAGAAGAGAAAGAAGAGAGGGTTAACAAATGTGGAAGATCAGTCCTCTATTCTTGCGAATAAAACATTTATCTCAAATCTAGTACACCCATGGACACACTTGCATTTTGTGGTTGTATTTTTGTGGATACATATGTGGTATCTCTGGATGTATTGTTGTCAAGTTGGATGCATCTTTGGGGTTCTGTTTTTTTGCCAGAAAGTGTGTTATACAACTATAATGTTACTGTGATTTAAAAAAAAACTATAATAAATAGTGTAATCTGTGTAACGGGTCAATATGTCTGTGCCCTCATGCAACTGTTACACTTTTCATAAAGCGAAGGACATACTCTTAAAATTAGGCCGGATGACCAATCAGTGTCCCGTTTTTATAAATCAATATATTCTTGACATGAGGTAATACAATGAAACCTACTGAGATGTCACCCTTCTTTTTGAATATCTGTCTCAATGTAAATGACTAAAGATTGCTGTGTATTAATGCCGTGTTTGAACAAGAGACACATCTCTAATTTCATGTCAGTTTCTCTCTCTGTCAGAGCAAACATCCAGGATCAGGCCAGACAGATGGGCCGGTGACCACACACTAAGCTCTGGTGGGTGGACCGCATCATCGTCACATTAGGGGATTTTCCTCTCCTGCCATGACTTAATACTGACCAGACTGCCACCTCTTTAAATGCTGGAACACAATTTGAAGAGGACATCTCAAGCTGATGGTCCATTTTCTTCAGCTTCAACCCATTTCCATCAAAGAGAGTTTTTATGAAATATTAAACAGGAGTAGTCATACGTGCAGAGAGAGCTCTGACATAACGACAAAGCCTTTTAATCTTTTTTTTCTCAGACCTGCTGCAAAACAATCCCAAAGCCAATGTTTGGGTGAACTGGTTTGTTAGTTTGGCTGTGTAATTTCACAACAATATACTAACTTGGTTCAGCATTGCAATATGTGAAGCCTATGGGTTTCAGACACAGGGACTTTTGATGAATCTTTTTTTTAAACGGCATTAGCGAGTGATTTTTTTAGCAGGGCTTTGAGCAACTGCAGTAACATCCAGAGTGACCTTTACTATTAATATATCTGACTGTCATATGAACAAACAAGAAAGAGGGTACAATAATCCTCTGGCAGGAAAGAATAATGAGAAAAAACCCTGATATCCCCCTAAAGTGAAGGTGAATGGACAGTGAGAGTCAGAGTTTTTGGGAGATTAAAAACAGGTAAATCCTAAAAGAGCTGAGATTTAGGAGATGGAGAGGCTGATGAGATGAAGGAGGTCAGGATTTGAGCGTGCCATGCGACTGCCTCACTACATTGACTTGGGCAGCGGTTTGGCCTCACAGGAGGGGCACTGCTACCAGGGGCTGGCTGCTGACACAGATGTTCACCATAACACTGGTGGGTGTCTTGTGCACTCATCCTTGGCTGAGTTTGATGTTGAAAGTGGATGACATTGTTGATGATGTTGTGTATGTCTTGAATGTTGTTGTATTATTGTTGTATTGTTTTAAGTGTCGGACCCCAGGAAGAGTAGCTTTTGTCAAGAGCAAAAGCTAATCCTAAATAAACATAAACATAAACACAGCGAGTCGTCATATTTTATTAATCATGGATTTGGGATTAGTTTGACAGAATACATAAAAACTAGAGACCAGTGGAAGAAAATAACGTTCATATCAGAATGGCTTGCGTGTGGTTTTCTGCTGCATTAAAATGCCCCTTAGTCCTACTTTAAGTTTATCTTGGCATTAAAACATGATTAAAGGTGGCGGAATCATCAGTGATTATTCAGGACAACATATACAACGATATAATTAGCCTGAGGAGCTCTGGATGTAAAAGTCAAAGTCATCTATAAATATAAACATTTTATCTGCAAGCCCTCTTTATTATATAATTTTGTTGTGTTACTCTAAAGCTTTAAGCCTCAAGAAAAAAGATACAAACTATAGTGTTGGTAAGTCGGCTTTATGTGGGGTACACACTACACAAGAAGCAGCAAAGCTCTACATTTTTCAATTGTTTTAAATATTATCTTGCCCGATTTTCCTGTTGTGTGAGGTATATGTGTGTGATTAAATCCCCAGATCTCTCTGATTTAAAAAAGCAAATATTCACATTTTAAACATTGAGGTTTCAATATCCTGTTAAGGAAAGGTGAAAATGATCATTACATGTTGTTGTGTGTAAATTCCCTCACTGGTTTAACACATTGTATAGGTTGTGTCAGCATTACAAGACAAAAGATGCATCTCTATGACAATGTGATATCAAGCAATTCTCATTTATTTGTACCAAACAAACATAGAAATATCATTTGTATCTCCTTAATAAACCAAATCATTCACATAACAAAGTCCTAGAGACAATTTTATAAATACATTGATTAAATCCATTTAATCATCAGTAGAAATGAAACACAAAAGGGCGCCTGAAGCCACAGCGACGTATCATTTTGTTCCATCAGCTTCACTAATATATGCTGATCAACACCTCGATGCACAAAGGCTCTCTGACCTCCAACAACAGACTCATGTTAGTGTGTGTTGTTGGATTCCCAAAGAAAAAAGCTGCCACTTGTCTCCTAAAAAAAAAGCTCTTAGATTATATACACTGAGTGGTACCAACAGTTAAAGCAAGAGATCATTCATTTCTTTTTGTGTACACAAGTACTTTTATCAAAGTCATGCAAGATGAAATTAATTTCAGACATCAAAGCTTGCAATTGGTTGAAAACTATAAAAACATGCACGTTCTATACAACTACAGGTTAAGGCAATGGAATTGAATTCCTTGAATATGTGTAATTGTGTTTGTCTTGTTTAAAAACAACTTCGATGTTGAATTAAAGCTGCTCCATATCATATCTTTATGTACGTCTTCATTCTTAATTTATGTTAAAAAAAATCCCCATCGTAAATCCGGGGGAGTTCGGTTAATCAAAAGGAATTTCACATTTCATATTCTGCAAAAAATAAGTAAAAAACAATGTCTTGACATAAAAAGGAACTCAATATAGCCTTTAGCACAGTGCAATCACAGGACTGGAAAAAGCCCTTACAATCTGTACATATGGCGTGGCTTTTTCTAGCACAAAAACTGGAAGAAAACGTTTTTAAAAAAGCAGAAAGGACCATTCAGTCTCTAAAAAATGAACGCACAGTCTAGTCAGATAAAGACAGACACAATCAAAATGATAAATGTGGACAGAGGGTACTCAATATTTTTGACTTCTTTATGGGATATTCCCACAACTGCTCTTCTTCACAATACATTGCCCCCTGGTGGTTCATATCAGTTACTGTGCTCTCTATAGAAGAAATAATCTGAGCTGATCAAAATCTGATGAGTTCATATTTGTTCAGCCGTCTGTGCTCAAACTCGTCATCACAGTTTCAGGCCTCGGTGTATCGAACCATATTGTGGAGACGGTATGATAGGACGGAACATACTACCACCGCTCTTAAGGACAGTGAAGAGGTGGAGAGGTTTCTAAGGCCAACATTTTTTTTTTCTGCTGTGAAACAACCTGATAACAGCTGCCCTTCTTCTTAAAAGCAGATTTTATAAACTACACAGCCTACAGGAAACAAGTGTTGGTACTCAAATGACAGTTTTAGGAGATGTTACTTAAAGGATAGACAGACCTATCTTAACACAACACTCATATGTACGTTGAAAGAGTAATAGGTCACTATAATAATATCTTCTTTCCATACCGTCTATGTAGTGATACCTTCATAGATTGACTAACAATGTACAAAATGCTTTTTTGCTGTTAAAAAATGCTGGCTAAAGTTGTGCCAAAACTAATATGAGGCTTCAGCAGTCGGAGAATAGCTTTGTCAGGGCAGTCGTATGTAGTTTTATGGTCAGGGTTTTTGTAGCTCTGACTGTCAGGAAGTATAACTCACATCTCAGAAACGTGGCAAACACAAAGGCTGAATGTTGTACTAATAAAGCCATGACTTCGGAAAATACCCATCCATTAGGAAACGTAGCTTAAGCCTCATGCTAGCTTCAGATAATCTAGATTGATATTTTGCCCAGAACAATAAGCGTGGAATTGTGTTTCTAACTTTGTAGCTTTTTAAGGGTATCGCATCATGGCCAGCACACAAAGGGGGTCCGATTACAGCAAGCCTCAACTTTGTAACAAGTGTTGTACTAAAATGAAAAAATCTGAACATATCCTCACACACATTTCAGTAATTGATACAAGGGAAACAACTGTCAAACAAAACAAAGTGCAATATTCTGGGGAGCAAAATGTATGCTTATCTTGTAACTTAAATAAACAAATTAAAATAAAACCCGTATTTTGTTTCTTTTTTTGGGTTAAAACATACACTCTTGGAGGGAATAACACTATTGATGCCATACAAATAATTACATAACCATGTACCTCCACTTTCCACCTTGCCTGAAACTCCACTCTGGTCGCAGTGTAGCAAATAGTGCAAATTATTTAAGATTTAAGTCCACAGGACCACGGTTCATCACTGTATTTAGCCAAGCAGGGGATGTTCACTGCTTGTTCTCTCTTTGTATTGGTAGTTAAACTGTTAATGTAGCTCAGAAAGAAACTCTGTACCTTGTAATTATTGCATGTGACACATTTTACAATCATTTGCATATGTTTTAGATGGACCTGTGATGTGACCTCATGTTTCCCGTCAAACTTTTTTCTTCTGGGAGCCCTTTGGAGGCTCCGCAGTCTGCTCAGCCTTCTCTACAAGTAGATACAAAAATTAACATTAGCACGTTTTTAAGTACCATCTTAGTATTGCTTTATTTCATCCCTGTGAGTGAATATGAAGCTATGGACACTTACTCTGAGAGGAGGATATGCTCGGGTTCTGCTTCTTTGACGTCAGCACAGGAGGCTCTTGGGGTTTGGGTGTATTGACCAAAGGAACTGTGCTCACCATCTACAACCAAAGAAATGCAATACAATTACAAAAACAGGAAACTACTAAGATATTAATCTGACCGCTTTCTGTTTTTTTTTTAACTTGCCTGAGCCTCAGATGCAGCCTCCTCATCTGATTTCTTCTTCTTTTTCTTGCTCTTCTTGGATTTGGCGGCTCCACCGGCGACATCATCGGCGTCCTTCTCATCCTCGGATACCTTCCAAAACAAATACAGACATTTATAAAATTAGGAACACATGTTAACAGTTGTGTCTTGAGTAGAAGAGCAATTTAAAAAAAGGATAAATCAAGAATATTAAAAAGCCTCCTTAAAATTGTATTAAAGGTCCCATGTCATGCTTTTCCGGTTATTACCCGTCCCCTTGTGTGTTATGTAGCTTTTTCTGCATGTAAACGGTGTGCAGAGTCACAAACCCTCAAAGTACACCCTGTAGCGAGTAAAACTCTAACACAGAAAATACCTGTCTATGCTGCCCCAGAACGCCTCGTTGGAGATTTTTCTTTTTCCATTTTTTTTTTCTACCTGGTCATAGTGACGTAATGCTGCGGAGCCACACACACACACACACACACACACACACACACACACACACACACACACACACACACACACACACACACACACACACACACACACACACACACACACACACACACACACACACACACACACACACACACACACACACACACACACACACACACACACACACACACACACACACACACACACACACACACACACACACACACACACACACACACACACACACACACACACACACACACACACACACACACACACACACACACACACACACACACACACACACACACACACACACACACACACACCTGTTTGTCATTACTGGTGTCATTCTTTGGTTGCTAACAAACGCCATTGTAACACATAATCACTGATGTAACGGTGGTGGACTCATCAGAACAGAGTGGGCGAGCTGACCAATCAGAGCACAGTGGGCTCATAGGGAGGGGGGGCAGGAGCTCCAACAAGGCGTGTAGGACAGAGAGTGAATACACATAGTATACAGAGATGCTGTATGAGAAACCAATGTGATTTTGGAACATTGAACAATATAAATCTATTCTAGTATACCTCAACAATGGAATTATGATCAGTAGAAATGGCCATGTCATGGGACCTTTAAGATAAAGGAATACATTAAATCTCTAACAGATGTGATTATCCATGTGTGTGATTTGGCAGTGAAACCTTGTTGGGTACAGGCTGCTCCTTCAGTGGAGGCGCTGGGGTCTCCATCACAGGGGGCTGTTCATAGTTTCCCCAGTGCTCTGCCGGGGCACTCCAGTCAGAGCTGGGGTCTGCAGCTGCTATCCCATCTAAAGAAAACACAGGATGTCGGTTGGACAAAATAATACAATTTCACAAATATGTTAGTTTTGAGTAATGGATACTTTCCCCATTTATTACATTTTAAAAGTTTGGATTACAAATCATCTCTTAATTATTTTGCAGCTTATGCTTTTTATTATCTGCTATATTAGAAGTATGTACTGTATGAAACGGTTGCTGAAATACTCACTGAATCCAGACCATTCATCATCAACACTAGGGCACCTCGCCCACTGCAGCTCCATTGAGTTTGATATTGAGTCTAACAAAAAAGTAAGAAGGTGATTAAGAGAGAGATGGAGGTAAAAAGAAAAGAAAAACCTAACGAATTAGTTATTGCTAAAAGACTAACATTTAATAACAATACCAACCTGTGGTGTTTAGCCCCAGCATGGAGAAGTTCACAGGGTTTGGGTCAGTCTTTATACGGCCATCAATGCTACTCCATGCTGCAGGCGAGAACACACAGAGACATTATAATGATATGGTTGGAATGCTGTTCTGGCAAACAAACAGTTAATATCAGGTTTGGCAACATCCAATAACTCCTTTAAAAAAAAAAATAAAGAATAGTTTTTCCTACCGTCTAAAATCAGGGTAGATGGAAAAAACCATAATGCTGTCAACCCTAAAAACACCTTCCACAGTCTAAATAACCCCTTAGTGTATATCACCTTTTAAAGTTATAATTTCTATTTTAATGTTTGGTGTCTTTGTTAAGTGAGCTGTTGATTTAATTTTATACTTTCAATAAATTATTTCACCTCCTGCTAACAAGGTCACTCTACAAATGCTGCAATACGTTTTAACCATGGTACAAATCCTTATAAATGCCATGACTATGCCCCATCTGTCCAGCAGAAGGCACAGTTGCACACAGTCTTCAATGATGAATGGAGCATTGTAACTTCTGCTGTCATACAATCATGATCAATGTTTATTTCTGTAGTGAAAAGGTCTACCCAGGCTGAGGATGTACCTTGTGTCTCCTGTCCCCAGGACTGAGGCTTAGGTGGGGCCCTGTACTGTGTTGCCGTGGTGGTGGCACTCCATTTAGGTCCGTCCATAGCACCCATCTGACGTGGGATCTTAACAGACATGTCAGTCCAACCTCCTCCATTGACTGAAGGCTCCTCTCTGCGGCTGGACGTCACTGAGGACATGGACAGAGTCAAAATGTCAGTTTTGTCAAACAGAGACAATCTACAGTCTAACAGCAGATTCTGTAATTTAGAGCTGAGATTACTGATTCTAAAACCATTGTTTACTTTACAGCCTTGTTTGGTTACCAAACCCAGGAAATCACCTTCATGTATATCCTCCATCTCATGTAATAAAATCAACATTTAAAAAAGGAATCTATTTCATCGTTTTCCAGTAACTTCCTCTCAGTTACTAAAGAATAATAGTTTATCTTTGTCTTTACCAGCTCCAGTAGTTGTCTCCCCCTTTCCAGTGGCTTTTGAATGCAGGGAGTCTGTTTGAGAGAAATATGTGTCAGTAATATACAATATTTCTAGATATGAGGGAAATGTTTTTTAAACTTTTTTAATTCAGGAATATAAACAACTTCCACATATAGACTCTTACATTATCTAGAATATTTCCTGCAGCCTATAAAGTAACATTTATAGAATAACTGTGAATTTATAACTGTGAAACTATATGTTGGTCAATTACAAAAAAAAGTAGCGCAATATTTTCACTCTCTTGCCTTGTGCTTTCCTCATGTGGACACATAGGGGATCCAATCACTATTTGAATTATCCCATAATCACTATGAAGGATAGGTACATCCTTTCTTCAACAGGGATACAAAATAATTGAGCAGAGGCGGTGATATAAGGACCAGAGGAATCCCCTCCTGGAATTTACACCCAGCTTAGACGGTTATTATTGCATCTTAAATAAACGTTCGTCAAACTGCTATGTACCGTGGTTTCCTTTGTTTTTCTTGGTGTTGGTAGGTGCTGTGGCCACAAGTGCCTCAGCGTTGCTCTTGGGAGCCTCCGCTCCTCCTGGGCTACCAGAGTCCTCAGAGCCCGGGTCCTTCCTGCGCTGCTGTTTCTTCTCTCGGTTACTAACTTTGGTCTCCCATGCACCTGGTGGAACCAAATAAACAAAATTAAAACGGTTAGGCGACTTACCATCTGCAATGCAATGATAAATAAGTATGTTAGATGGTTTACTGGGGATGAAACTTGTTTGATTCCTTGAAACAGGTAAACTGAATGGGAAATGTAGGTGAATCAAAAAACTGCAGAGATCAAATAAGTTGGGAATACTGAGAACGAGGTAAAACAAACAAGTCATATAAAGAAAAGAGAAAATGAGTCTTACCATCATCAGTTTCCTTCCCATCAGTTTTAGACACATGCTTGACTGGTTGCACAATTGTCTTGGTTTTCTTCTTGTTCTTTTTCACCTGCACCGGGGCTTGTACCTCATGCACCTGTTTATGGAAAAAATAAAAAGTTAGTTTGAAATACAGTATGCGAACTATAAGAAAAATACAAATGGCAATTATGTAGCTTTGTTTTTAATAAGGCCATGCCAGGTAAATGTCATTTAAACAACAAAACTGTCTCATAAAACTGTCTGCCGCTCATCATCGGTTCCGCTTCATTTAGGCAACAGCTTCTCAAATATACCTTCTCGGTTCTGATACGAGGAGCTTGCTTGGAGACAACCTCGACCACTTTAACTTCCTCTTGTGCTACAGCCACTGGTTGTCCGTTGGATTGAGTGTTCTGGGGTAGAAAGAAAGACAACAAATGAACATGTTGATGATCCATTCAGCAAACACAAAACTAATCTGAAGTCTGTTAACCCATCTTTTATTTCAGATCATTTGTAGAATAAACTAACTAACTGTTTTTTATTTTGGAGTATACTTCATAAATGTACAATACAAAAATTGCCCATCAACGTTTTTGAATCCACTGAGACTTCTTAAACTAGTACACAGGATGCATTTATGGTGTTTCATTTAACATGACGTGTTACACCTGACCACAACGCTGTAGTCGAATAGAGACCTACGTTCACAGCTTTCAGAGCAGCTATGTGTAAACCATGCCATGTTCACGTTACAAGTACCATTTTTAATTAGACGTGTGAAGGCAAGCAGTGTGCTTATTAAGTACAGTGTGTTTTATATGATAGTTGTTGGCCTACGATAACATTTTAACGAGTTAGCATGAACCGTTAGTTAGCTCCAGTGGCTTGTCAGTTGGTTATATCAGCTAGCTAGTTAGCATCCTATTCTAGAACCAGATACCATGATTCATTGTATATTTAGCTAACTGGTCTATTTCTGTATTTTTGAAAGTAGGTCACATGATGGTCATAGATATGTTGTTGTTTAAACAAAGTGGGCTGGCTAACGCTGGCTTTAGCTAGTCAGTGATGTATGAGAAAGCAAAGCTGGTTACCTAACGTTACCTTCAACTTTACTGATAAATAATGGGTATACATGTATAAATTAGCTTATGCTAACTGAGTGAACACTTTGTTTAGGGTTAATTGTGTTAAGAGACATCAATGAATAGACGCACTTGTTCTGATAAACCGTGATTCAGCAGCTCGTAAACCCTGCCCACCTTTTCAATCGTTTTCTTTTTGTTCCTCTTCTTCGGTTCTTCTGGTTTGGCAGTTTTGGCCAAATTGGCCTTGCTCGGCTCACCATTGCCTTGGGGGACCGGGGATCCCCGCTTTTTCCCAGCAAACAGACCGCGACAGACGGCGGCCCAGGACAGTGAGAGTACCAGGAACAGACCCACCGCGGCCGTAGATAGGATGACCCAAGTCGGGTACACTTCAGGCTTCAGACCCAAATCTACCCCGAACTGAGCCCGGACATTGTCTTGTCCCCAATAAATCAGCACTTTTAAGCGGCTGGAAATCAGCTCGGCTTTTTCCAAAGCAAAACCTCGCAAGTCCACAGCCATCTTTCCAAATCACGAAACACTAGCGCTAGCTCACTGCTGTCAGCTATCATTACCAACATCCGTATGCTAACGGAGGAGTGGCTAATGTAATCTGATTGATGGAGAAATCACTATAAAACTACACTACGCAGTATATGACACCGATTTATTGTGAGCATTTGAATGTCAACATTATCTGTGAAATAAATGTGCCTCTTTGATAGCTGTGTTGAACAGAACATTCATCACAAATACATTTTGATAACAAAAAAGGACATTTCAGTTTTTACAAAAACACTTTTTTTATTGTACAATAAAAATGACAACATGTTTTAACAATCCACCATGAAAGGCTAGTTGCCAGAACTGCATCTCCATAAAATATATTGTAAATATTAACCATCTTTACATTTCCAATGAGGTTCAGAATAATCACTCACCACACACAATAAAGATTGTAACAAGACTTTAGGCCAGTTTTAGTCAATAACTGCTTTAACAAAGTAAATAAATAGTCAAATGTAACAAAATCTTATATTCTTTTCAGAAGTCTGCATCCAGAGTGAATTCACTGTCTGTCATGCTTGACATAACTCCAAATCTCTGATACTCCCCTACTCGTTTCTCAAAGAAGTTGGTTTTCCCCTCCAGTGAAATGGACTCCATGAAGTCAAATGGATTTTCAGATAGGTATACCTTAGATAAAGGAGAGAAAAGGTTACTCAAATGATTCACTTTTTCACACCGCAACTCATCGTGATTTATTTTGTCAGATAATGTGTAAAGCATTATATGGCTTTGGTTGTACTTCAATTATTCTCAACCCAGGGCTCCTCTGCTTTAACACAGCAGCCACAACAGTATAAAGGGGTTCAATAGCCGCGTTCACACCGCATACTTTGCAGTACTTAGTGCCCCGGCACTTATTACCCCAGGGCACTAAAGTACCAATCGCGTTCACACCGGAGTACTTTTCCCTGAGGGAAGATTACGCAAATGAGCCGCTGACGTCACTTCGTCTTCTTCTGCTTTGGGTTTACTGGCAGGCTGCAAACAACTTCACGGCGTATACTGCCGCCCGAAAGTCCCCGGCCGGAAGTCCCCGGCCGGAAGTCCCCGGAGTTGGGGACTGGCTTCAGTAGAAGCTGCTGGGACTCCCAGCTGCTTCTACTGAAGCCTTCCGAGTAAATCGCCAGAACGCCGACACCTCCTCATCACTCCACCGCTCCCATGTTTTTTTTTGTGTTGCCATAAGTTATTCTCTGTCCGTTGGTGCGCGGGGCTAATGCTAATGCTAATAATGCTAATGCCACAAATACAATGGCGGCTTCACAAAACTTTTCAGAGTTTTACGGGGCGTGGTTTGCAATTCGCCCAGCCAATCAGAACTGGGGCACTTTTTTCCCCCAGGAAAGTACCACCTCTCTAGCAGGCACTAAAAATGGGGGTAAAAGTTCCCGGCACTAAGTACTCTTTTTGGTGTGAACGCAACATAAGGGGTACTAACGGAACTAAAGGGGAAAAGTACTCCGGTGTGAACGCGGCTAATGAGTAATAACCATTTATGTATTTTATATAAAAAGTTACCTTGGCCAGTCCGAGGTCAACAAGAAGCCGGTCGGCAACAAACTCGATGTACTGCCTCATCAGACAACAGTTGATTCCAATGAGGTCAACTGGTAAGGCCTCCGTCAGAAACTCCTGCAATACAAAATATGTTAAAGAAAAGTCTAGATTTAATTAGATCTAGACTTCATATAATGTAAATCTAATCGTATCTTGTGTAAAGCAATGGTAATCAATATAAACAAAGCAATCAGTAACAAACAAGCAGAGATTAACTGTATGTTTACACAAATGATAATGTGTGGTCTGGGTTGAGTGTATCTCTCCAACATCAGCTGATTACCTGCTCAATGCTCACAGCTTTGGTGATGATGTCCTTCACTCTGTCCTCTGATGGCTTCTTCACCAGGTAGCTGTACAGCAGGCAGGCAAAGTTACAGTGCAGACCCTAAAAACACATCAGTATACATGTCAGAGTAGTTGATAGAAAGAGAGAAAAACATCCATTGAAGATATAGGTACCATTTCCATATTAAAATATCAAAAAAACAAAACAACTAAAGAGCTATATATTTTTTTATTTTGGAAATTATTCCAAATGTTTCTAACAAATGTCAAACCTAGACCAATCTGTAATTTGAGAAAGGTCAAGATACGTTTAATTTCATCACCTTTCATTGCCGTAATCAGAGTTGGGTGTAACGCGTTACAAAGTTACAAAGTAACGCGTTACTGTAATAATATTACTTTTGTCGGTAACGGAGTAGTGTAACGCGTTACTTTTATAATTCAGTAATCACACTACAGTTACTAACATTGCCCCGACACGCGTTACTTCGTTACTTTTATAAAATCAGTCATAATCACACTGACAGACAAGAGGGGTTTCCGCCGCAGGTTTATATGTACGTAATCTGCGCGACTTGCACGTCCACATCTCCGCGTGCAGTGCTGCATAAACATGGCTGAGTCAGCGATAACTTTCGAGGGGTGGAGGTATGCCCATTATTTTGAGTTCGTCCGAAGAATAGACAGGAATGTGACGGTGAGGTGCAAACTGTGTCCAGGCCAGAAGCTGTTATCCACTGCTGTAAACACCACGTCAAACCTCAACAAACACCTGCAAAGAACACATGCTAAGGTGAAGCTAATAGCTAAGGACCCCCGAACCCAGAGTGAGGAGGATGTTGTGAGTGCGCCGCCGCAAGAATTTGGAGGACCGGTAACCAAAGCAGAGATGGACAGGCTTGTAGCATCCTTCATAGTAGAGGTAATGTTGCCCATTTGCACAGTGGAATCACCATCGCATCGTTCAGAGATATACTGCGCAAAATACAGACAGCAGGAGACAGAGGACAGCCATGGTCAGAGATATCTGAATCAGTCTTATGCGACAATGGAAACTGAACTAAAGAGAACATTTGAAACTTTAGCAGTCTGCGTGATCTGCCTGTAGGGAGGGGCGGGCCGGCCCTGCGAGTAAAGTAACGAGTAAAGTAACGAGTAAAGTAACGAGTAAAGTAACGAGTAAAGTAACAAGTTACTTTATGTAGGGAGTAACGAAGTAGGGTAATATATTACTTTTTTTTAAAGTAATATGTAATATGTAATATATTACTTTTTTTTAGTAACGACCCCATCTCTGGCCGTAATATCCTCTTTGCTCCATGCATCATCATTGTGGTTGTCTACACACAGCCTAACCATTATGCAAGTGTGTACAAGATGTTAGGTAAACCTAAACTTGATCCTGAAACTGGCTATGATTTTATATTTGTAGCCCAAGATCCCTCTTTTCTTCCTGCTTCCCTTGATTAAACAACATGTCTTTTGATTGTAAATTCATCTCACCTCATCCCTGCTAATCAGCTCGTTGGAGTAGGTAAGGCCGGGCATTAGTCCTCTCTTCTTGAGCCAATAGATTGCAGCAAAAGAGCCAGAGAAGAAGATGCCCTCGACTGCCGCAAAAGCCACAAGGCGCTCCGCTGAGGACAGAAAGTGTCAAACCTGTTATTAGCTATAAATAACAAGAAGCTCCTCTAGGCGAGAATTTCTCCTTTTAATTTCATTAACAATATGATGGTTAGAAGTTGCATCTTCCTCACCAAATGACGATTTGCTGTCATTTATCCAATGGAGGGCCCAGTCTGCTTTTCGTCTCACACAAGGCAATGTCTGAACTGCGTTAAATAAGTTGTCCCTGAAACACACATAGTATACAATTTGACTTACTTTCTTCAAACATATAGCCTCAGCAGACCAAATACAGTACATATATATAGCTCAATCATTTTTTTGCATGTCAACAGGAAATGCAGTATTTTACACACAATTCTCAACAAATAAATCAAAATCAAGTATTAGCTTAAAACTAAAAAGAGGATAGCTTGTAAAGGTACAGACTGAAAGAAATGCAGCAAAAATATGTATGGTTCAAATACTTTATTTGAATTGCCTGTTGAGAAAGAGGCTATGAGATTGTTATCTTCCTAAACTGTAGGTACATCAAAGCTGATGCAGCTGTGAATGCAACTAAAGTGGAGTAGACCTAGCCCGTGATAAACAGGTGCAAATCTAACGGTTGGATTTGAATCTTCATAAGAAGTTGTCTGTATATGGTTATGCACTTTCTCAAAACGCACTGAGACAATCTTTACCATCTAACTATATTTGATTTGCTTAAATGTTAGTTTTTTCTCATCGAGCCACAATCGGTCTAGCTGTGTAATTTGATTTGATGTTCATTTTCTACATCACAAAAAACGAAACTAGTCTAAATTGCTTAAAATTAACCTTTCAACAGTCACCTTCATGTAAGTTTGTCTTCCAGGATCTTACAGGATGGGACCATAAACAAAACTAACCTCTCCTTCAGGTCCCTGACGTATGTGTTGATGAGCATGCTGTACATCTCTGAATGAACCGTCTCTATAAGGATCTGGAAGCTGTAGAAGGAGCGTGCTTCAGGGACCTGCACCTCCTGGCAGAACCTCTGCACCTGTTCGACAAAAAGACAAAAACAACAAGTTTTTTTTTTTTTAACCCTGGCACGTTATCTTTGTGTAAAGTATAATCAAGCTCTGAATCCATTAGTGCCATCTGTTGTTTACACAGAAAACGTTCCAAAAAAGCACACAATCTACTAACGTATGCAACATCCAAAATCCCTCACCAGGTTCTCATTGACGATACCATCACTTGCAGCAAAGAAGGCGAGGATATGGGAGATGAAGTGTTTCTCCCCAGGTTTCAAACGGTCCCAGTGTGGCAAGTCTTTGGATAGATCAACCTGAAAGAAGCAACATCATCAGTACAATCTTCTGTCATATATGCTGCGTCTTAAATCAGGTTTTCCCCATGATAACAGGCTTGGAGGATGACAGTGTCTCTCATAGTTTTGTTTTTGCGTGGGGCTGTAACATATACAAAAGTATTTATTTGTGAGAAACCGGGAAAATAAAACACTTTTATAATGTAATGTAATAATACAGTATTTCATTTACATTAAATTAAAAGATACTGCACATTCTAATGTATACAGCACATTGAATTACATGTACAATTCAAAGTGATGTAACCCCATTTAAAATAAAACGTTCCCTTAAGCAGGCCATTGAAACCCTAATATTTTCTTGGTACAGTAAAACTGAAACCCACCTCCTCCACCGTCCAGAAGGAGGCCTGGGCCTGCTTGTACATCCTCCAGATCTCGGGGTACTGGATGGGGAAGATGACAAACCGTCTGGGGTTGTCCCGGAGCAAAGGTTCTTCCTCTTTCTCTGTACCATTTTGACAGTCTGGGTCTTCCTCTTTGATGCCATTCTACATAGAGCCAGAGCACACCAAGGAAACACGTGTCACCTCACAATTTATATAGTATATATTTTTTTATATATCTACATTATATACTCATCCCTGTCCAACCAAAGAACACATTACAACCACTGTTTAAATACACCTCCCCACCTTAAAGAATATAGCCAACACCTCAAATAATTATTATTTATACATATTTAATGCTTTCTTTTAAGCATCTATTTTTAAACAGTTATAATTAAACTGTGTAGCTTTGTAAATGTTATCGTCTGTGAAATGTGTAAATATGTATATTGACATTTCAATTAATATTAGTGCCTTGTCTTTGCTGCTACCTCTGCTTTTATGTATTGGTCTATTTCTATTACTGCAGTAAGAGATGCCAAAGAAATGTCTTACCTTTTAACCTTACTTTTAACTTATTTTGGTAATAACTTGTCACTTATAGAAATATTTGTTTCACTTACTATGAATCGTTTTACCAAAAGGAACTGCATTTTCTCGTCGGTCGTTTTATCCTACATTACTGATGAACATTAGGTAGCGTAAACTCACATGAGCAGAAAGGTCAAGTGTATGACATTTAAAATCATATTTATTCAACTAACAACAAATGTCTATGTAGCTAACGCCTCGTTATCGTTAAACTGACAGTACAGTGACGTTACGTAGTCTTGCTAGCTCTCACGCTACTCCAGAGTGATGTATTGAAAATGCTTACCGGTTCTTTAAGATGTTCAGACTGCCGACTTATATTCATTAGGTCCATTTCCTGAGAAGACTATTATTTCACTGTCGGTGTCATTCGTTTAGCAACGTGGTGCTTCTATCTGTTACTCCGTCTCATAACCTTGTGTGGACAGTGAACACAGCAGCTGTAGCTTTGTTGTCTAAACCTTTAAACTGACTCAGAGGGAGTGTAGCGCCTCTAGTGCTCATACACAAGACATGCTACATTATAAAACCACAAAAATAAAAGCCTAACAGCAGTATGAATCGACTTGAATAACTCTGCTAAAATCATCATAATCGTCTTTCTCATTTGCAAAAATAAGTAGAACAAGAAAAAATCAGTCAGTCTTTCAGAATGATAAATTCTTTAATTGAAAAGGAATGCAATTTAAAATGAAATCTTTAACAAATAGCATGCCGATTGATGATGTGAGTATGTGGAGGAATATTTTATATTTTCCTTCGTGTTTGGAATGACAGCATGACTATTAAATGAACTCTGAGCTGGATATCAATGTGTGTGAACCAACAAATCCAGATCGCTACACCGGTATGTTGTGAATCCCCAACCTGAACACATCATTTGTGCACGCCCATGCGCCGTTTTGGCACTTCAGCATAAACACTTGATGAAAGGCCATTGGTGGATCATCATCTACCTGTTACAAAAGCAGTTGAGAAGTATTTGTGAGCACAACAATTATACTCCAATTTCTACCGAAGCAGAAATGTATTATACACATGACACAAGATCTTTTCTGTAACCATACATGAAATATTCAATGTTATGTTTTTGTAAATTAACACAGTTGTTTGGACTATAGTAGCAAAGACAATCAGATGTAGCAGGTCAATCAACACAATGTTATTTATATCCAGAAACATATAATTACAACTTAAATATATATTCTCCTTAGGCGAAATATGCATTATATGTAAACTACAAAAAAGACAGATCAAAAGACAAAAAAACAACAACACTCTAGAGAAATGTATATTAAATACCACTATATTTATATAGCCTATTTTATTCATATATATTAGAAGGAAATTACTGCAAGTGTTTCCACAGCGCATTGCTCTGTTTCAGACAAGAGATTGTCTACATCTTACTTTTTAAACATATGCAGACCCAAGGTTATCTACAAAAATGTTCAAGCTCACCTGCAACTGTCCAAACACCATGATCAGGATACAACTGTCTACCGTGGGTTGGAAGTCTTGTTCTGTGATAATGTGTTTAATACGCTTGAAAGGCAGGTTCTGTAAATGGGGAACAATAGCATTTATTAATAGTGTACAATAACAAAAACAAAAAAGGGATGCTTTGATATGAAGTTTCCAGTCTGGAAACTGTTTTGCTCCTCATTTATGATACTTATAACATGTCAGGAAAGGCTACCTTTTAAACGTTTGTATGAATTAATGAAAAATAAGCACTTACTGCTAATTTGCCAGAGATGGCTTCTCTCCCTTGAAAAGGTGAACCCTCCCATGTCAAACAGGAATCAGGAGCCTGAGGAAATTACAATCACATAATGTTTATTTGACCATGAATCACAGTATTTACAACAGTAACTTCAACTATGAATGGTAACATTAGTGGATATTTGGTTTATAAGTGTTGATATTATCCATAATACAGGCAATAATTTAATTGAGAATGAACAAACTTACATAAAGGTTACCCAGTCCTGTCCTGTTGGTATTGTCAAACTGGTTGTAATATTCTTGGACAAAGCCCTCCCCAATCTTTTGCCATATTTCCTTTTCGCAAGCCATCTGTGAAGCTTTGGATCTGTAAAATCAAAAAGTATTATTATTAGCAGTGAGTCAAAGCTGCAGTCAAATAATGGCTGTTTACTGATGACACTTCAAAAATATATTTTCTAACATAGAAATGTTCTGGTCATTCCAGTTATTTGAACAATACATACATGTAAAAACAACACCATAATAATCAGGCATGGTCACATTAAATAAACACTTTGTATTGCTTGTTAATGCTTTTAACATGTACAAATAGTACTGATCCAAGGATTCTACCCTAGATAGAAATGCCAATCACTCAGTTACACAGTTATAACAACTTGACTCATGATAGAGAAAAACTCAATCTGATGTTGTAAAAAGGAAATTAAAATCTCAATCCAAAGCTTTTTACACCTTTATCCTACGACAGGTTGCCCTACATTTAGCACTCTACTACTAAATGTAATGGTTACTGGACAGGTAGGAAAAGACATTTGTCAACATAGTATGTTGACACTTTCACTATGGGAACATTCTCCCCAGATATGCTTTGTATTGATATGGGGAACACTTTGAGAGTTGTGGTAAAAGATGATTTGTGAAGGTGGTCTCAGTGAAATTAATTCAGACCACCCATGTATATTTACGTCTCTGGAGCTGGTTAATTTGGCCACGAATTAACAGCTGGAAAACTTCCTTTACAATGTGTTTGATGTCAGTGTTCCCAGTGTTGCAACGATAAAACAGATTAAAACCGTGACAAAACCAACAATTCAATCTTTTAATGCTGAATTGTTGTGTGAAGGTTGCTAGTCATGCAATACGTTGTTGTCATTATCTCTATGTGTAACGCCTGGTCAAAGCCACATCATTTTTTTTAAATATTAAACGAGTCTCAATAAAGATTAAAAACAGAATCAGGTCCATCAGAAAGCACTGGGCTAGCCTGGGGGTTAGCTACAGAAAGTGTCACGGCCATAAGCCATTCAAAAGCGTAAAGTTATAGCTAACGTTAGCACACATATTTACTTTTCTCGGAACCGTTTCAGTTAATGTGGTCTCGCTGTTATATTCGTTCAACAACACCGTGTTACTACAACTGGGGAAGCTGTTGTTTGGTAACATTAGACTCAAAAACAACACTTTACCGTGTCCAAAAGTTTTAGCTTACTTTTTCGATCGGCGGGCGAGCCAGCATGGAGATCCAGGCAATAACGATGGAGGTTCCCGCTTCCTCCGAGATATGACAAACCGATTACGTCACTTACAACTGACCAATAAGGGCTAACAACGTTGAAATAGTTATGCCCTGTGTTCAGCCTGTCAGGAGCTCTTTCTCCCCGACTCCGTACCACCTTCAACCATGTATGTATTTATGATTATGAATAGGCTACTGTAGTACAGATGGTTGGACTCTAGTCCTGTCAATCATATGGAAGATGTAAATGACACGCTCAGAGCAAATACAGTCCACAATTCAGTGTCAACCCTAGTATGAAGGCGGGATTATTAATCAGGCTAAATGGAGGCGTTGTCTGAAAAACCGAACTCAGGGCTCAAAGACTCATCTTTCTAGTGGCGATGAGTTGACATGATTTAATTTATACATTTCAGTTGTTTAAGATTATGTTACTTATTTTAAAACAGACACTGTGAAATAAAAATTGAGTACTGTGTTTTTAATTGACAAAACCTATAAAGCTGTTGAAGGTATTATAAAGGTGGAGTGAAGTAACTTCAGTTTTACTGCCTTTTTGGAGTCATAGCTCAATTCATTAATCATGTTGTTATGCAACAATAACTTTATGAAAACTTAAGGAATAAGTATATTACCTCCTTCTTCCTATAATACATTTGGCAGGAGGACAGTCAAAACACTTTGAAGCCTTCTCAGTTTCAATGTTAGCGTAGTTACTCCCTTTAGCTGTTGTAGGTTTAAGGAAAACAAAATAATGGGCCATAAAACATTGGACAACAAATCTTTAATGATTATTTAAAAAAACATAAACCAAGATCAACCTGTAAATGAAACGTCTTTATTTTGAACTATTTGGCAAACAATTAATCAAATAATAAACCATAGCTTTAGCCATTGATTGTTGGATGGGTAAGGTGACGTCACATCTCTTATTAGGTACAGTTGTCTCCCAAGGACGAGATTAAAGCTTTCTCCAGTTAAAGTTACTAAACTGAATCACATGAACTACGAACTAACCAATCATCTAAAGTGTGCTTTATTTTAAAAGGTGCTATCAAAGATATAGCCCAATATCATTTAGGCAAATGTCCCACATAGCCATACAGTCAGGCTATCAATAATGTAATTTTCCTGAAATGGAAGACATTAAATGCTTTACTAGAGGAGATCCATATTGCGTCAGGGAGAGTGATGAGACATTAGAAATACAGATGAATTAATAACAGCGTGCAGGTCTTCTTTACAAACACAACAGGAATGTTATTTATAAAAAAGCTGGGTTAATTCTTTTTGTAATACATTTTAAGATCTTTACAGTTCCTCCAATTGTACCTTGGTTACAGTGTCCTATTGGCAAGGGGGATTCCTTAGTCCTCCTGACTTCAAATCAAATCAAACATCTGACATTATTTTCCACATAAATGGCGAAAACAAGCGTGACAGAGATAAGACCCATTTAGGCACTTTTAAAAACATTTTGCTACAGTTCAGTGATTGTTGCTGCCAGGAAAATGACACTCAAAAAATGCAGAATGTCTTCCCGCACTTGACTTCCAGTGACTTGTTCAGAAAGGCTACTATTGCTTTGTCGAGGCCCATGCACCAATAGCTCCTTTGCAATGGATGGCAGTAAAAGTAGTCTCTACAGTCTTCACCCAACAGGCCTCTGAGGTTAGAACCAAGTGTTGTGTTCAATGTTCTCGCATGTCACTGCTCTGGCTGTGATGTGAAATAATCGTCTGTCTGGAACACGCTGGGGATTTCTTGACGCTGATGTGGTGCTGTTCTTCTTGGGCTGGTCGGTTTCTGTGATTAAAAGGACACAAAAGGAATTATTTAATATAAAACTCCTGCCAGGAGTATAGTCACAAAAATTGCTGGACAATATTCTTAATGTTTATTGGAAAACGATCTGTTTCATTACATTACATTACATTGCATTTAGCTGACGCTTTTTTGTGCACGACTTACAATAAGTGCATTCGACCAAGAAGATACAAACTTGAAGAAAACAGAATCATATAAGTACATCAGGTTTCATAGAGCCAAAACATTTCAAGTGCTACTCAACTGGCTTTAGATAAGCCAGTCCTTTATTAGTACACAAGTGCTTTGTTAGTAATTAGTCATTCTTTGTTAGTAATTCTATCGCTCGAAGTGGAGTCGAAAGAGATGAGTTTTCAGTCTGCGCCGGAAGATGTGTAGGCTTTCTGCTGTCCTGATTTCAATGGGGAGCTCATTCCACCATTTTGGAGCCAGGATAGCAAACCGACGTGTTTTTGCTGATGGGAACTTGGATCCCCCTCGCAGTGCGGGTGCAGCGAGCAGTTGCAGTAGTCTAGGCGTGAGATGACGAGAGCCTGGACCAGAAGTTGTGTCGCTTTCTGGGTCAGGAGGGGACGTATCCTCCTTATGTTGTTTCACACCAAACCGTTTACTGCTTTTTACACGACAGTTAGTATGTAAACAAACATAACATTTATAGGTACTGAGCATACAAACCGCACATTTAAGAAGCCTGGGACACTGCGGAAGATCTTCTTGAAAGCACCGGGTAGCGTTCCTAGTTCTCCCTCTGCCAGTGTGACCTGATCCTCCATCTCGTTGACGTTGGTTCCCACCATCTTTACAAAGGCCTGCAGACATTCCAAAAGCAAAAACCAGATACAATTGAGATCTATTCACACTGTTTGAGACCAAGAAAATTCAAAACACTTAAACAATTAAATAAAGCTAAAAGTCTCACAAGCCTTGCAGCTTTTTGCTTATTGATGCAGGTTTGTATTCCCATTAGTTGCTTGGTAGGTTATAAGCATTTTAAAGGGCCCGTGTCATGCTTTTCCGGTTATTACCCGTCCCCTTGTGTGTTATGAAGGTTTTTATGCATGTAAACGGTCTGCAGAGTCAAAAACCCTCAAAGTACACCCTGTAGTGAGTAAAACTCGAACACATTCTATGCTGCCCCAAAACTCCTCGTTGGAGATTTCTCATTTTCCATTGTTTACTTCCTGGGTACTGTGACGTGGGGATACCCAGAGGCCACACCCTCTGCCAGCATTTCACGAAACAAAGCTTCACAAACCATTCAGCGATTCATGCCGGATATGTACAGCGTAGGGCACTGAAGAACGATGCTGTTCCTACTTTGTTTGGACCAGCAGGAGATTCGGGTATACAACCTGTAAGTATTCATTGTTGTTTGTGTATTTATGATGTTTAAAACAAACAAGGTATCTACCACGACTGTTTAAATGGGTAAACGTTTTTCGGGCTGCTAAGTTGGGATCGCGGAGAAATGCTCTCCGCAGACCCATTCTCACAGCGTTATAAACCTTTTTCTTACTCAATATCAAGCCACACTTATTAATAATAATAATAGATTTATTTTGTTAGCGCTTTTACAGGTGCTCAAAGACCCTTTACAGATATAGTGAAAAGAAAAGAACAATAAATAAATATATATAGTTAAAGTTAAAGTCAAATAATACAAAAACAATCACACATTAAAAGCCAGATTGAAGAGGTGAGTTTTTTTAAGGTGGTGAGGTCAGTGCAGTCTCTGATGGGTTGTGGGAGTGAGTTCCAGAGGGAGGGGGCAGCAACGGAGAAGGCTCTGTCCCCCCAGGTCCGGTGATTGGTGCGGGTGGGGATGGATAGGAGGTTGGCTTCTGATGAGCGGAGGCAGCGGGAAGGGGTGTGGTGGTGCAGCAGATCTGTGAGGTAGGGGGGGGGCCTGATTGTTGAGGGCTTTGTAAGTAATCAGGAGGACTTTGAAGTCGATTCTTTGACGGCCAGTGGAGGTTCTGGAGGACGGCAGTGATGTGGTCTCGGGAGCGGGTGTGGGTGAGGAGGCGGGCAGCAGAGTTCTGGATATGTTGGAGTTTATTGAGGAGGTTGGATGGTACGCCGTAGAGGATGCTATTGCAGTAGTCGAGTCGTGATGTGATGAATATCATATTATTATATATATATATATATATATATATTGTTTTTACTTCGGCTGTGAGTGTTTGTGTGTGCTCACTGCTCAGGATGAGTTTCGCTTGTTCTCGCTGTATCGCCGACCCGGAAGCCTGTCTGCTCCTCGCAGCAGATCGCAGCAACGAGCCTCGCAACGTCCTGACCAATCAGAGCACACTGGGCTCACAGGGAGGGGGGGGCAGGAGCTCCAACAAGCCGTTTAGGACAGAGAGTGAATACCGGTGAATACACATACTTTACAGAGATGCTGTATGAGAAACCAATGTGAGTTTGGAAAATTGCACACAGTATAAATCTATTTTAGTATACCTCAACAATGGAATTATGATCAGTAGAAATGGCCATGACATGGGCCCTTTAAAACAGTAACAGCGCTCCTAGACCGGTGTTTACTTCCATTATTGGAAGAGGAAACAACCAGCCAATGAGGATGATCTTGTTCACAATATGTTTTGAAGTTGTTCCTCTTGGGAAGAGGATATTTTGTTTGGTTAATAATGAATAAAACACTGCATACAAATCCTGTTCACTACACGTTACATCACAAGTTTCATGGCCCATTGCCAATACAACTATTTGTGTTGTATTATTTAAGTCGTTGTCAACCCTGACGTTGAATATTGTGTAATCAAAAGGATCACTCACCTCCAGCTTATCAATTCTTCTGTATATTTGTCTCATTTCATCCGACTTCTGCTGGATTTGAGGTAGGTTTTCATTTACTATCTGGGAGGTATCGTTACGGATCTAGTTTAAAACCCCCCAAAAGAATAAGAGAGACAAATATGCATTTTATTCAATGAGAATACAAATATGACACAGTGCATTCATAAGTTGTTTCAGTGTCATAGCTTACCATATCTAGCATTCCAACAAACTCATCCACTCTTGTCAGCATTTCTTCCAAGCTCTTGTCCAAGCACAGGATCTAGAGGGAAAATCATTAAAAAAAATCTGTAAATCTGCACAAACTATCTAGAAACAAGGTAACTGAAATTACATCCAATGAAACTGAGCCAGCCTGGGGCTGGCTTAAGAGACTGTTTCTGTGCACTTTATTATCAATCCCACACACCAGTTAAAGCTTGAATTCAATCAATTGCCCTTAAATTGAGTGAGCATGCCTACAGGGCTGAATCACAGGGCTGAATCACAGGGCTCTTTGTCGTCTTACAGAGCCAGAGGCTAGCTCAAGCATTTTCAGTTAATGTCCTCTCCGGATGACAACATTTTGGTCAGTCGACCATCATAAGAAAATAGATAGAGTTCCTACAAATATATACAACTGTCTGTTTAAGCTGATCCTGGTGTTGATATTGTTATGAATTGACTGTCAGTTCAACCTTTATGTCTGTCATAGTACATCTTAATGAGCGGTTTTATTTGAATGTAGGGTCACATGACTTGGACTCAAGCAGGTCAGTCTTGAGTAAGGAATTACCAATTACTCGTAACTTTTCTTGGTCTTTAGACTTGAGAAAGATTATTTTTGTCATGCCGTTACACAGCAGTGTAGGGTCAATCCAATCTTAACTTTCCTGACAAAAGACATACTTCAATCAATCTGATAGCAACCAATGTCATTCTTTTGACAGGAGGAAAACATCAACCAGGAAACATGCAGTAATCCAACTGTAAAAAGTCCTTTACTTTTGAAAGCTTTCTCCAGAGCTACAGAAAGCATTATACTGTTCATTAACAGTTTGCACACACTGAGTAGTACCGAACTTCATGGCGTTTAAAGCCCTTTAAAATATATATATATATATAATTTACTATAATAATAATAATTGCTAAAGTTCTATAGTATTTCTACACTGAGCTATTTGTTACACCTCTGCATACAGTACGTTTAGGGGGCATAATGACTTGTTTTAGACTCCAGCATATAAATATTAGGACTTGGGCTTTACAGTTTTGACTAAGAACTTGACTTGCTACTACATAGCCACTACAGTCTGGCTAAGATATAACTGTGTACCATCTCTGCCATGAAATACCTCCACATCACAGGGGCTGCTATGGCAGACACGAACGAGTGACAGCAAACCAATCATGTCACTACTTAAGTGTCGCTTAGCAACCACATCGATTGGCAGCTGTGGTAAAGTAACTGCTTTGCTCGTTAGTGGATGTGAAGCCAAGTAATAATACTGCAGTATGCGATACAGTACTTTATACACAAACAGCTAACGTTAACTTAGCTAGTCACATTGTTTTATATAAGCTGGCGGCTCTGAGCACAAACCTCTTCTCCAGCTGTCGCCTTGATGTAGGAGGAGTAGCTGAGGGCGGTGTGTCTCAGTTCCTCGTCCTGCTCCGGGGACCGCTCCTCGGGGGTCCGCTGCTCGGGGGTCCCGGGCTCCGCTGCTTCGTTGAGGCTGGGGCTCTGAGAGATAACGTTGGCTGCTGCGCCAAAGCTGGGGCTCTGCGACACGGTGCCGCTGCTGAGGATTTCGCTCACCATGGACAGACTGCTCGCACTTTGTGAGACGATGCCGCTGTCTCTGCTGATCTCAGCGCTGGACTCCTCCAGGGGAGACAGCAGGCCCACCCTGTCCACCCGATGAAGGTCCATATCGGCCGTCTTTCTGAGCTACTGCCGTGTTTTGCCTTGTCAACTGACTAGATCACGTGTGTCGAGCAGCCTACGGTGGCTCGTAAGGGTCAGAACAGTGTTGCGAGGTTCAAACTTCAGCCATTTACCTTTAGTCCAACTTAATCACCTTCAATTATAAACTACAGATCACCTTTTTACTTTATTTGTACAACAGTAATATCTGTTATGATAGGCTATGTAAAATGAGTTAGAACCACAAATACTTTCTGTATAATTTTACCCGAAATGAAGGCTATATCATCATAGTGAAGGATAAAAAAACTATTTATTTTATTGAAATCCATAAATATAACGTAATGTTTCTATAAGAGCAGTACAGTATTCCTGTAGTGCAAATAATTTCTGTATATGAGAAAGTGCTACTACAACTAATAAACAGTATTAATGCTTTAAAGATATACTGTATTCATCCAACGTGACTTACATATCTTAGACATTGGTTTGTATCATCAAAGATTGTCTAAAAGCAAAGCCTTATCGGTTGGATAATGCAGAAAATATTATTATTTTCTTGCACTTTTGTTCATTGCTCTTATTGTACATTTCAGGACATGTCATGACTCATGTCATTGCAATGTCGGCCAGCAGATGGCAGCCAGAATTTTTGCATGGCAATGAACTGATGCAGAGGTATGTCATTGGTTAAGGTTTATTACACATTTCAACATTTTCTAATTTTAGTAGAGTTGATGAGCTCTCAAATAAGTTAGTTTGCATTCAGCAATGGATCCCACTCAATATTAAATATACATTTACATATGGCTAGTACAAATAATCTGATGGATGTCATTAAAGTTTTCTCCTTAGAGCACATCAAATTTAGAATAACTCTATTTCAGATGTGCAGTTTTTAATTTAAACTTTAACATTACTTTGTCAGCGTTAATCAGTGTACACTTGAGTCTCAAAATTGCCAGCTAAGCATCTGTGTCCCATGTGAGGAGCATAGTTGTGTCACACATCAGTGTTAAAACTATTTACACATCAAGGACTTACTTTATGTGCATATCTTTTGCAAATATAAACATACTTCCTATGCTGGTCACCCGTGATGGAAAGTCAGAATTAAAGATACCGATTGAGATTGGGGATTTCGGGGTCTACAAATACACTCCAATCTACTGCCGATTGGTGGTGCAGAATACAGCCAAAGCAAACCACCAGTCGGGTGTCAATGATCTATTAGCTGTTTGAGCAGTGTGGCATGTTGAGTAAACAAAGCAGACAAACATTCATTAGCAGAGAGGTGAAAGTAGTTTGCTCCTGCTGGAAGGCCTTTGACCTCGGACAAAGCGGAGGTATTTTTTTGTTGAACATTCACAGTTCTTGTGTCTGAAATAATAAAGTCAACCTTCAGATAGTGAGTCTGCACCATGTGATGTCTAAAGCAAATTATTTTGTGATGAACTAGACCTGTGTTTCTTACCCAACCTAACAACAGCCTACAACAGGCATGGGCTTTTAATAAACTTCAAAATGACATAATCGGAAAGCGGTAACATCAACCATGAAAGGGCTGTTAATTGTTTATCATCTTTGTCATATTATCAGCAATCAGTGTGGTTTTACCTAGTTTGCTGTAGGCCACGAGGTTAAAATATGTTCATGAAATTAATGCAGCTACAAAACAGTATTAACACTTCTATTAATACCAGGAAAAAAGAAAGTCATACCTCTTACGACAAGTTGGTTATGCATTCATCATCTGTAGAAGATGCTGCTACTGGAAGAAATGGGATGTCAGCCTCTGCCATGATTGTTTATTTTGTTGACTGCCAGTAGTGGTTCTTTTTCTGTGGGAATTAAACTAAAACCTGATGTATTAAAAAAAAAAAAAAAGCTTAAACCTGTTCAAGATTGTATTTTTATTTCAACCAAGCCTAACACTGGACCACAACTAAGTGAATAAGTGATGATATTAAGGATTTAAAATTGAGTTAAAAAATGAGTCACACAAACTAATTTGTTAGAATAAGATGCAACTTTGAACTCAAGTATTTTTGGCCTCTACTTCTTTTCATTATATAGAACTGACTATTTGCAGTCTTAAAATACTATTATCAAGTGGAAATAGATTTATAGTTTCATCTCCAAAAATAAAAAATTATGTACATTTTCACTAGTTTAATAGTAGTGGCTATAAGAGAGATTACATTCTAAAAGCCGAACAGCTGCAACGAAGATTAAAGTAAACAATGGAGGAATCAGTGAGTTTTAAAAAGACAGTATGTAAAGCATTAGAACCATAAAGATAACTATGGAAACAAACATCACATTTCTAGTTAGCAGACTTAGAATAATTTATTGGAACAGAAACAAGGATTTGATCACAATCATCAATGCATAAAAGAACTATAAAAAAAATCATAATCTAAACAGCATTTATCAGAATATAAGAAATATAGATTTACTCTTTAAAAACATCCATAAGCAACCCCAAGTTGGTCCCAGTAATAAGAATGAAAAGGATCTTAATAAAAGTGGTCACTAACAAAAGATATTAGGCTGTAGGCACATTCAGAACTCTAGTATACAGTGGACTCGCCTAAAAACAGTTATTTGTTCTGATGCTTCTGACACACATACATACAAATGTTTTGATGTAAGACAAAGACAACTTTAAAAAATACAGGAAATATATACAATACATTTTCCTTGTTTCCTGGTGCGTAACATCCAATTATCAATTATGTCTTAAAAACAAACGGAAGTTACGAAATTAGTATCCGATAAAACACACTCATGCTCATATTTTTCCGGCCTGGTGTTCCAGTTTAAGTCTCTGAGCAGTTGGGATGTTTTCTGTCCGTGTGTGTTTGTTTCTAAGTATTATAGGGTAATGACGGTGCCGTCCTCCTCCACTCCGCCCCTGGGCAGCGCGAGACTGTGTCGTGGGTCCGTTTTCAGGGAGCTGAGGATTTTGTGCAGGCTGCCATTGCTGTGGCGGAGGGCTGGGTTGCTGCTGTGATGCACAGGCTGTATTTGGTGGTGACGGAGCTGGGCCTGTTGATGCGGGTTGTGGTGAAGGCTCAGGTCTCTGTGGAGCTGGTAGCTGAGGCTGCTCTGGTGGTGGAGGTGATGGTGCTGGTGCTGGTGCTGCGACACCCCATTGAGGCTCGGCTGCGAGTGGAAGGAGGCGGTTGAGACCACCGATGAAGGACGTGTGGGGGGGGCTCGGAGGTGCCGCTTGGCCCGAAGCTGTCGTTGGTGTCTGCTGATGTGTGCGAGACACACTGGACGCCAGCGAAGCATTGGACCTTTGAGACGGCCGCTTGATGCTGTTCTCAATGACAATATCCGTATCTTCGTCACTCTCCAGGTCGTCCTGGTACCCAGGTGCTCCAGAGGAGATCATCCCCACTGAGGCCACTGACAAACTCGGGTAACCGGTCGACCCGCTGCTGTCTGACGACTGGCCTGAACTCCCTGAGATCCTGCTGCTGCGGACCACATTATTCCGCTGGTTCACTGGCTTGACCGTAACGATCAGGTTGTGGCTGTTGGCGATCATCATATCTGTTACCTGATCTAAGGACTTGCCCGTCACTTCAATGCCGTTCACCTCCAGCACCTCGTCATTGACCGCCAGCAGCCCGGTGCTCTCCGCTAACCCTCCAGGCACCAGCCGAGATATGAAGATGCCGGGGACTTTCTCCAGCCCGTGGGGGGTCACCCGGACGCTGGTTCCATCTCTGATGTAAAAGCCCAGGGGTTTGTCCGAGCCGTGGCGATACAGTCGGACACGCCGGTGAGACTCAGGTAGGATGTCCACATCAATGATGGAGGAGACGGGCCGGAAGTCCTGCGGCATGCCGATGCGGATGTGTGGTCGCTTGCGGTTGATGTCATTGTTGCGCAGTGCAACCACTGGTTTCTTCCTACGGGTTAAAGTGTTGGAACCATAGCTGGCATAGTCGATCTCTTCTGTAAAACATAAAGGAAAGACAGAACGGGTTAGACATTAGGGTTTATCTTTGGTAATCTGCAGGCAACACATTAAAAACTATTAATTATTTGTCCCCAATTCTTAAGGCATTAAGGAAAAAGGGAAAACTAATACACCACACAAATATTGAGAGAGCAGGATTTGTAAAGTTGCCATCCTCAAACTACAAAACCTGTTCATGAGTCTTTGCCTTCAACTTTACATCAAACCAACTGCCTAACAACCTTTAATCAATCTATGCACAGGAGTGTGAAAACATAACCGCCTGAAAAAGACCTGGTAAACATTTACTATATACAGATTTTAAATCCATTGTGCAACATTAAAGTTGTTATAACTGAAGCCCTTATCATGGCCTGAGTGCTTGCTGGTATATTCTACAAGAGAGTTAAGAATAAAGCAAAGATTTGACAAATAGTCCAACCTATGTATGAAAAATTAAATGTGAGCAACTGGATTCACATGCAGCTAATACTTGGACTCGCTCTCTTAGTGTGCATGTTGGTATAAAACGCTGAGTGTGCAGAGCATTCCTCTCTGTGCTGACAGAGGTGATCCAGCCTTCTGCTACCAGGCAGCAGCTGTAGGGACACTCACAGTGCATTTACCACACAGGCACATACATGTACTGTCCTCAGAACAAACATTAAACTCAAAAGATACAAAAAGTCAACATTCGCCCTCTATCTCAATTAGTAAGACACAACGAAGGATACAAAGCAGTATGGAAAGAGTAAGTTGCCAGGTGAGATCAGAGCTAATCTCAGTTAAAGCATGTTTCCAACCAGAGATTGAGAACAATCAATAAAACAACAAAAGCGCTCGCAGAGGACTGGCTTCTTCACAACAACATAGCCACTGCCAAACATGTACTAGTTTTAGATAAAATAAGGAAGGCACGATTGAGGCTCTGCAATAAAAAACACTCAGAGGTTTAAAAAAAGAAGCATGAAAGTATAAATGGATGTATTGTTCTGATAAAAACACAGTGTGAGATAGTTAGAAATGATACACTGTGTGCCCCAAGATGGGAAAAAAAAACTAGTTTGCTCTCTAATCTCTTCTCCTCAGACGGACAGGAAATCTGGACACAGCAAAGCCTGATGTGACAGGAAGTGAAGCTCCCCAGGCGGGATCATCGGCTCCAGCATTTCCATGGCAACAGCGGTGATGAGTCATCGTTGCCCTACTGTTTTGGACACCTGCTTTCTAAAATTGTTATGGTTGAGCAGTACATTTTTGGCCCTGTGTTCAAAGTACACTGTGGAAGGAGTGAAAACTGAAACAAATGTGGAGAGTCTCTGAGCAGAGCCAGCTGGCCAGCCCCCCCACCCCCCTCAGCCTCATAGCAGCCTGGACACAAGCCATACAACTCCCTATGCAAAGCTGACTCATCATTAATACACATTTGCTTCTCTTGAGCTGAATGTTGACTAAGCAGCATGTTTTACTACAGCTTCAGAAATAAAAGAGAAAATAGTCAGAAATCTGATGCAAACCACCCTCGCTGTGGGAGAGAAGAAGAAGCTTTTGTGGGTGTCACCAACCACAGTACACATGGGGAATCGGTGATGACGAAAGTGGGGAAAAATAAGAGTGATAAATGAGTGTTAGTGACAATGTAGATTTACGTCTCTTGGCAGAGCTTGAAATAATGCCTTTAAGTGCTCACAGACTCAAGCTTAACTGTCTAGCAAAAACCATGTTGATACAAATAAAGTAAAAGCCTCATCTTATCAACTTTCCCTGCTTTTAAATGAACCTTTTTAAGAAGAAGCTTCTGAATATCAAACTTCAAGTGGATGGTATTCTTAGTTTTCTGGGCATGTCATGGCAGAAGCTGATTTGATTAAATCCAGATAAAGCATGTGCTACAGGGCTGGAATTTCTGCCACAAGTGCAAGTCTCCCTGATGAGAACCATATACGAGGGATCCGCTGCAGAGTCTCATTATAGGTCTATGGTGCAACACCCTTCTCCCTCCACACCCTCACTTCAGTCTGAAACCACACAGCACACCACTTCACCAGTACATTTAGTAGGACAGACGAGCTTTCAGTCAGAAATCCTAAGTGTACAACTATAATTATGCTTTCTCTTTGTAATGTCTCACAGCTGCTCAGCAAAATCCCATAAGTACACGTAATTTGTTTAAAGAAACGTACAGATACAAAGACGTGGTGTGTTTGACACATCCCGGGGTAATAGCTGAAGAGGAACGATTGAAGTTAAGCTAAGCAGGGGTTACATCTGATAACACTGATCACAATTCACTGGGAGAGCTCCATTTGACAAGCGTCTGGTCTAAATTCTGTCCCACTGGTGTCCATTATTTCATTATGTAAGCCACAACAATAACATATCAAAACATACATAACTATTCCTTATTTATTTAAGTGAAACCAGCAACTAAAAAGGGAAGCATAGTGAGCAAAAAACTAGCACAAGCCCGGTGCAGACCAACTAAAACACAGTCACACAGTCGACTGTGTTTAGTTAGTGGTTTACCAGACTAAAAAACTTAAAGTATCTTCTTCATGTTCCCATCTGGATAATGAAAGTTAGAGCCAAGTCAGATTCCCTGAAGTCAATTTAAGTTTCAGGAAATCAAAAACACTACATTTGAACCCTCCATCAAGATGTAAGAAAAAAAGTCAATTAAACTCCATCAATAGAAAAATAATCGATTAATCATGGAGCACATTTTTTAACGAATGAAACACATTCTCTGGTCCCAGCTTGTCAAAAGTGAAAATAAGTTGTTTTGCTTTGTCCTTAAATGGCAGTAAATCGAATCGCTCATCACCACAAGATCTGGAAAATTGTGATTAACCAGCAAATTAAGGATAATCTGATTTATCGATCATAACAATCATTGTTTTTTGCAGCCCTTAAGTGCACTATGCCTTCCATCACAACTACGACTGCTGCAGTAACTTAACCTGTTGAGTCAAATCACTGCAGCATCGTGGGATTGCATTATTTGGAGATGCCAAACAAATTAAGATGTCGAGTCATAGGAGCAGACTGTGGCAGCAAAGCCTTTCCATGTCTGTCTGCCTTATTATATTAAGGACCAGTACACTCATCAAACTGAAATGTTATTGCAAAGCTCAAAATTATATTCTCTGCTACTGCAGTATATGTTATGTGCGCGTTTCATAGTAAACTTGCAAGTGCTTCTACTACTGTACTGTGTAGTTTAAACTAAATGTGATTGCAGTATAGGATAATGCCAGAAAATTACTCTGCTCTTTCAATTACCCCACACACACACACACCCCCCACACACACCCCCAAACACACACACACACACACACACCCCCACACACACATCAGGCGCAGGGCTGAACTATGTGAGCACCTTCCAGCTGATCACACAAAGGTTATCGTTACAACTCTTGACAAACATAATCCCTGCTACACTGAAGCATGATGGGTAAGCCAATGTGAACCCGTTCATCAAAGTCACTGCCCGGCATCTGCAGGCTCAACAGCACCTCAGATCAAAGCCCGTCAGAAAAGCTTTGTGTTTCAATAAGCTGCTACTCAATATTTCCAAAAAGTTGTTCGTCATCAAATGTAATTTATCACTTAGGGTATGATATTACGAGTTATGTTATGCACAATTTAAGGACGCCCCGAGCATGAATGCACACTCCAGCTGTTTGCATTTACTCTAAACTTTAAACTTCAGGGAATTCCACCAGATCTAATACAGCTAATCCCTGTCAGGATAAATGCTGACAGGCATGGAAAAAACATTCATTCACTTAAACAACATTTAACATCTGTGGTAAAGAGCATCAGTAAGGGTAATACGAGAGCTCTGACACAGCTGGGTGGATAAAGAAAGAAGGTCAAAATCTGACAGTGGCATTTTTTCAAAATTTGCCATGTTTTTCAGCAGTGTAAATCTTAACTTAGTCGTTCAATACTGGCATAAGTTAATCATAAAGGAGTTTAATTTAGGAATACTGGTGCTAAAAACCATATGATGCTTAAACTCTAGCCCACACAAGGTCAGGGGAGAGAGGTCAGAGGTGGAAAGACGGCTTCTGGGAGTCTCCTACATTCTGCTGACGTGTGTGGCCGTGTGCATGAGTCTGCATGTGGCACTCGAGGAATGTGGTGGAAAAAGTAGTCGGGAATGGAGATATCTTTAAACAGGTTGAAGATCTGCATGACTTCTCAAGACAAGCATAGGCTGCTTTAACACTAGAACCGCCAATGGGGTCAATTTGACCCAGAGCTGTTTTTTATTGTGTGTAACTTTTTTTTAATAAAATATTAAAGTCTTCCAGTCCGTGACTTTTCCTGAAAGTGTGTTATGTAGCACCCTATGTTGTTAAAAATGGTCAATATGAAGTCAGATTGAAGAAATCGCCCAAAAAATTGCCATTTATACCTATTTCCGCCAAGCGGGTCATATTGACCCCACCCCTTTTCATATAAACATGACATGTTGCTATAGCAACGCCTTTTGTCTACTGCGGTTCCTTATAGATTGAGAGATAGATTGAGATAGATAGATAGATAGATAGATAGATAGATAGATAGATAGATAGATAGATAGATAGATAGATAGAGAGAGATAGAGACAGTCTGTAGTGAAGGAGTGCGCTCCCGCTCACGGGAGACTGCTCGCGCTGCGCTCCGCAGCAAACAGCTGTGGGGCGAGTTGAAAGTACGTTATGCTGGCCGCGGTGTCTAAATAATGCTTCCGGGCCAGCGGGCCATTTATAATGTCGAGCCCTGAGAGTCCACAGATTATATTGGTATACGTTTCATCCCTGTGCGATCAAAACTCACTGTTCAATAAAATAATATTTTACCTTGAAAATCAATGCATTCTAATAGCGGGTCAATTTGACCCAGGTGGCGGTTTTAGGTATAAAAAATCTCTGGCGGTTCTAGTGTTAAATGGAAAGCATCGGGCTATTTAAAGCTTGTATTGATATGACACATCACTGGCATA